GCCCACAACACTACTTAAGACATGCTGTATGCCTCCTCGTGTGGCTTCAGCATCAAGGATGTCTTCAACGCAATCTGCACAATGGCAAACTCTTGGCTATGAGCTGGCATGGACACTCTCCTTGGAACTATCACTGGCACTGTCTGGCTTTGCTCCACCACGGTTAGACTTGGAGTACCCATCTGACTCTGAAGCGGAGTCCTTTGTGTCCAGTAGCTCTCAGGTACCACTCCTGGCAGCAGTATCTTGATGCAGCTGTGGCACCGGTGCAGTCCTGGCCTCCCCAGTGGCAGGCACCTAGGCAGTGGCCCTTTTGGACTCTGTGGGCATACCACAGAGCCAAGGGCAAAGGCCGCCCTCTGTGGGCCCCTTGGCCCAAGCGCCACTGTCTGTTTCATCAGTGGGCCCCAGCACCCAAGGATCTTGTCGGCCAAAGCGGGCAAGGGACATTGGCACTCCCTTCTCAGGTGTTCCCTCTGACAAGCCAGGAAGACCCTGTTTCCCCTGTGGTGTCGTCACCAAATGAGGCAGTGGTGGGTCCCCTTCTTCCATGGATTCTAAAGTCCTACCATGACCTGCTCCAGGGTGTGGCTCAGAGCCTCAACCTCCCAGCTGAGGAGATAGTAGAAGAATCTGTCCTGATAGTGAATGTTCTTTCTCTTGAGAGTCCACCAAATCCATCCAGACCACCACCAAGATTTTTTGGCAGACCTTGGCCTCAATTGCACCCACGGCCAAGAGGGTTAAATGGTGCTTTGTGCCCCAAAGGGCTATGAACACCTCTATAACCACTCTCAAACAAGGTCACTAGCGGTTGACATGATGAACTACCAGGAACAGCAAGGACAGCCAGCTACTCACAGGGGCTGGAGTAGTTATGTAGAAAGCTCTCTCTCTTGGTTTAGAGTGGCTACATTAGCAATCTTACCACAGTGCAACTGCACCTCTGTAAACTTTTAGTGCAGTCATGTCCTTAATGTTGACTTCTTTATACCTTTTCCTGCATTCCTAGGGTAGTTTGATATACTTGAATAAATAATACAAAGGAAATTCTTGATTACATCAGGCAGTTGGTCTTAATGGGTTTGCCTGTTTTATTCCACAGTATAATCAGATGTCATCACTCTTTCAGAGTCTTGAGCGATTACGCATTGAATATAATGGCCACTTATGAACAATGCAACCATCACTAACATGTGAGAATAAAAGATACTATAGTATCCATGTATTCTGCCTAAATTGTGAACGCTCTGCTAAACATCACCAAAAGGAGGCAATCCCTTGTATTAGATCACTTCAAAACATCCCTTCAATAAATCTTTGCTGATCCTTTGATATTTACTCAAGATTGGTGTTACTGTATAGAAATAACTAGATAATTTTAAATGCAAAATAAGGTAATATAGCATTAAGGTCAGTAACAGACTCAGAATAGATAAATAATAAAGTTAAGGTTCTTTGAGGTGGCTTTTGGTTCCTAACTTGAGATCTGTGGCTGAACTTTTGGACCCTTCTGCAAATCAGTTTCCATTGAGGATATGTCAGTGTCCTCTCATAGCAGCAAACGATCACAGCATAGACTGCAAAAGACTGCAGCCAGCCTTCTCAATGCCGGTATTTCTGCAGTCAGCTGATGATACTGGGCTTTCTCTCTGCTTTGAATGAACGGTTAGACTCTGTTTTCATCCCAAATTTCAACTTAGCATATTAAATTTAGTAAAACAGTTCCCTTGTACATCATATATTTATTTTGGACCTACAGTTCTCAGATTTTTTTGATCTCACCTCCAAGGACCCTATTAATAAAGGTGGATTTAAGCAGGGTGCATGTCATTTTACTTCAGGTTCCTTAACGAAGACATGCATTTGCTGTTTGTTCTGCTTGCAATAAGCCTATTACCCAGACTACTGCATGGTGTGCAGGGCCTTCCAGTCTTAAATCTGCACTAGTAAGCATTAGAGGTTTTGTGCCATCCTCATCAAGGAGGCTTTAAAAGCTCAGACCTTGATTCTGATGTTGAATCAGCTGTCCTGTGAACGAATAAAGTAGGCCTCTTTCAGACGCAAAGCCATGAAAATGAGGAATAAATTCCACAATAAAATCAGTTCAAAACAGTTCATGATACATAACTGTTAGGACTATGACTGAAGTCTCTGATACCAATAACCTTAGCTGTAATATGTGAACCTTTGATATAGAAGCAGATACCTTTAGGAACCTACTTAGGTCCTACTTTGGTGCCAGGAGCTTCCCATATGCCTAAAGAAACCTGATACTAAGCAGGTATCTATGGTGTTGGAAATAAAATATACTCCAAATGTGGATCGTAGAGGACCTCTGCTGAATATTCTTTAAATCTTCAGTACTCTCCATTGGTTCAACTTCATAAAACAGGTAGAAGGAAGTTACATTTCTTTGGATACCTTGCAGAAGCTGACTTTGTGGGATACATTTTCTAGAGTGGAGCAATAAGGTTAATTCTAAAATCTCTATTGCTATTGCTTCATTGGTCATGTTTAGTTTTTAATAGGGATGTTAAATTTTGATTAATCAGCTAATTGACTAGTCGATGGAATTTTCCATTTACTACTCAATTAATTAGTTGGTAAGGGAGGCACTCACTATCCCTGCTGCACCTCTGCCTCCCCTGTCCGTCCTCTTCCCCTGTCCCCCGCACTGTGGAAACAGTGCTGGAGGGAACTGGTTTTAAGCCAGCTCCTCCCCGCCCTCGTTGTTTCTGATACAGAGGCAGAAAGGGGTGGAGAAGGAATGCAAGTAGTCAACTCGACTACCTGATAAATCTAGGCTTATCGGGTAACTGACTATTCAACTATTCTTTTACATCTCTAGTTAACAGACAGGACTGCAGCTGTATATTACATTACCAAATAGAGTTCTCTGAATTTGTCTTCATGGTGATACTTATTTCTACATATCTTCAGAATGTTTGTATTTTGAGCACCAGGTTTACAGAACTGAGATTGAGGAAAGTGTAATATTATTCTGCTATTTTTAGTTTGCATTTTACTAGTGCGTTAAATGTGACTCTTTAAAAGATCCTGGTTCCATGCAGCATGGCTGTGCTGACCACACATACTAATTTTACCGGGACTGTCACAGTTTTAAGGACTCTGTCCCAGTGCACCATCAAGTAGCGAAATGTCCTGGAAATCTCTGCTGGACATTTCACTATTGATGGGGACTCGTACTTGGGGGAAGAAGATACTGAGTCCATTGCTCCTGATGCAGTGCAGCAGTAGCAACAGTGTCCTTCTCCCCCCACCGCCCGCAGAGTGCGTAGGCAGCTCCTGTTGGAGCTTTGCTGGCTGGGGGGGCTTCTGGTGAAGCACAGCCCTGGCCCTTCCACCACCTACTACCCCACCATCAGGTGGCCCCCTCCTTACCCCACAGCACTGCCTCTGTCATGTAGGGTCTGGTCACGCAGCCTCCTGCATGTGCAGGCCATGGCTTATTACAGCGGCTGCTGCTGCTGGGAGGGGGAAGGGTGGCTGGGTCCAAGACCCCGAGTAGCCGCTCCCAAACTTTGGCGTTTTTGAACTGCCACCTGAGCCCTAGCAGAAGCTATGCAGAACTTGGGCTGGAGTGCTACCACCCCAGTGGGGCACGCTGGTAAAAGCCAGTTCCCACCTATCCCTGCTCCCTCTATCAGAAGCAGCAGGGGAGAGGAAAAAGAGGAGGCTGCTGCGAAGCAGCCTCTGTCCACGGCAGGCCAAGGCTCACCGTGGGCAGAGGTTGGGTCCCAAGAGGCTTCTGTTCACGGTGGCCTAGGCGGTCTGCAGTTAATAGGGGCTACTGGTCTCAGTGTGAGCCAGGACCAAGCAGTCCCGGCTTATGCTGGTTGCTGCTCCTTTACATTTTAAATGTAGTAAGAGTCCGGCGGCTTTTAAAATGCACGGCTGGCTCCCAGACCCAGAAAGAGCCAGGACTGCTGAGTCACAGCTAGAGCTGGGTCCTGAAGCTACCACAATTTAACATCCTTATTTTGAACCTCATTCCTCTCTGTCCTATCCTCTCCCCCTGTGGAGCTGGGATGCCAAAGGAGTAAGGTTTCTTATTAAAGGGCCAGATCATTGAGGGGTTTTGGAGGAGTTTTTTTGCTTCACTTGTTTGGTCGCCAGTTGACTTTTCTGGGGGTCAGTGGCCCCCCACCCAAAAAAAAAGTTACCTGCCCCTGCCATAAAGAAAACATTGAAACCTTTTGTGTTGGTCATAAATTAAAATATTAATTTAAAATGAAGTTTGATAAATGAACACAAGAAAGTTAAAACACTTGATCTGTTTAATAATTTCAATCAAACCATTCTCCCTAGCTGCAGCACTAGCAAAATGGCTCAAGTGCAATTATATAATTAACAGTCAGTTTCCATTAGCAACTGGTGGTCCACAGAAAGGTTTACATTGAGCCAGGTGGTTCACGGGCCAGAAAGTTTGAGAACCACTGAAATACAGTTACCCCCGGCCTCTCTCCCTGAGTTAATGCAATGCAAGTTGGATTAATGCAATTGCAGTATAGTTGCATGGGAAGGTCCTTTGGGGGCCAAACCCATCCCTATTGGCAGAGGACAGTGGGAGGAGTCCTTAAAGGGGTCACATGACACCCTTTACTTCTGGTCATGTGTCCATCTTAACCCTGGAAGTACTCCAGAGGTGGGACTTTATGTAATAGGTGAGCAGGGCTTAAGAGATCAGGAGGTGTGGCTAATCAGGCTAGGGGGAATGGCTGTGTCCCTATTTTTGGTTCAGAAAATATGGTCACCTTAAGCATGGTGCATGCAATCAAACAGGTAGATGTGGAAAGTGAACAGATTTTGATACAATACATGATTTGCCTATAATTTAAGTTAATTCATTTTGTACTTAAACAAAAAAGCCTCATCTCACTGAGAAATGCTCATTTTAACAAACAGCAAAAAGGGAATTCTCTGCTTTTGTATTGTGTAGAAAAGACAGTTAATGGTACTTTTCTTTTTTCATTTAGGAACTGGAAAGCCAGAAGAAATTGTGATCGTTTCAGAGCCTACTCATGAGAGTTTTGTGGTATCCAAAGCTCAAAATGTGAAACTAATGCACCTTACTTTAGTACAACAAGGAACTGTTGATGGTATTGTGGTGGTTGAATCTGGTCACATGACTTTAGCAAACTGTGTATTGAAATGTGAAGGAACTGGAGTCTGTGTGCTTACTGGAGCTTCTCTGACTATTACAAACAGTGAAATTACAGGAGCTGAGGTACTGAGTCTGCTTGCATATAAAAATATCATTTAATATATAAGCAAGTATAAAATGTTAACATACACAGAGAAGCTGCTTCTTAAAACTAGGACAAACTGTTAAATTGCAAGTGGAAATACCTCAAGTTTGTTTTGAAAACTTACACGTAGTTTTCAGTTAACTTTCGATTTTCTGTAGCAAATTTGCATTAAGCTCTTCAAGGCAGTAGCTTTGTTTTTATTCGTGGAGTTAGTGTTACTGTGTCATCCTTACCAATGGAATTAAGTGTTAGCTGGGATTTTACTAATTACTGTTAAGCAATATTTTCATGCTTGTTACTTTTTACATGTAAAACTATTTGATGTAGAGACTAAAATATATCCTTGAAGATGTAATTTTACAGTAGTAAGTGCTAAGCAAGGAATAGTAAAAGATTCCTCTACCCTTCATTCCATGTTACAAAATCCCATAATTGGTATATTAGATGGCATGTAATTAAATAGTCATGTAACCACATCAAATTTTACCAGTTACACAACTATTCAATAGTGCTTGGGGGCAGGCAGCCAGTACACTCCTGGCCCCACTCTCAGGGAGCCCCCTACCACCCATGCTGCAGCCTCTATCAGAGGCAGCAGCATAGGGTGGCAGGTGAGAGCTGGTTCACAAGGGGAGCTGGTTTTTAAACTGGCTCCTGCCTGCTGCCCCGATACAGCAGGGTACCAGAGCTCCCAGCAGACAGAGGCTCTGTCCTTGGTGGGCGAGTTGGGGTCTGAGCCTAGGCTCACTGTGGATAGAGGCTGCTCTGTGGGATTCATACAATACATGATTTGCCTATAATTTAAGTTAATTCATTTTGTACTTAAACAAAAAAGCCTCATCTCACTGAGAAATGCTCATTTTAACAAACAGCAAAAAGGGAATTCTCTGCTTTTGTATTGTGTAGAAAAGACAGTTAATGGTACTTTTCTTTTTTCATTTAGGAACTGGAAAGCCAGAAGAAATTGTGATCGTTTCAGAGCCTACTCATGAGAGTTTTGTGGTATCCAAAGCTCAAAATGTGAAACTAATGCACCTTACTTTAGTACAACAAGGAACTGTTGATGGTATTGTGGTGGTTGAATCTGGTCACATGACTTTAGCAAACTGTGTATTGAAATGTGAAGGAACTGGAGTCTGTGTGCTTACTGGAGCTTCTCTGACTATTACAAACAGTGAAATTACAGGAGCTGAGGTACTGAGTCTGCTTGCATATAAAAATATCATTTAATATATAAGCAAGTATAAAATGTTAACATACACAGAGAAGCTGCTTCTTAAAACTAGGACAAACTGTTAAATTGCAAGTGGAAATACCTCAAGTTTGTTTTGAAAACTTACACGTAGTTTTCAGTTAACTTTCGATTTTCTGTAGCAAATTTGCATTAAGCTCTTCAAGGCAGTAGCTTTGTTTTTATTCGTGGAGTTAGTGTTACTGTGTCATCCTTACCAATGGAATTAAGTGTTAGCTGGGATTTTACTAATTACTGTTAAGCAATATTTTCATGCTTGTTACTTTTTACATGTAAAACTATTTGATGTAGAGACTAAAATATATCCTTGAAGATGTAATTTTACAGTAGTAAGTGCTAAGCAAGGAATAGTAAAAGATTCCTCTACCCTTCATTCCATGTTACAAAATCCCATAATTGGTATATTAGATGGCATGTAATTAAATAGTCATGTAACCACATCAAATTTTACCAGTTACACAACTATTCAATAGTGCTTGGGGGCAGGCAGCCAGTACACTCCTGGCCCCACTCTCAGGGAGCCCCCTACCACCCATGCTGCAGCCTCTATCAGAGGCAGCAGCATAGGGTGGCAGGTGAGAGCTGGTTCACAAGGGGAGCTGGTTTTTAAACTGGCTCCTGCCTGCTGCCCCGATACAGCAGGGTACCAGAGCTCCCAGCAGACAGAGGCTCTGTCCTTGGTGGGCGAGTTGGGGTCTGAGCCTAGGCTCACTGTGGATAGAGGCTGCTCTGTGGGATTCCAGAGCAGCCTCTGTCCCTGGTGAACCCAGGCCAGCCATGGATTCCTCCCAGCACCAGCTCCTGCCTCTCCCTCTCCCTGCCTCTGTAAGAGGCAGCAGTGGCCAGAGGCAGGCAGATCCATGGAGCAGGCTCCCTACACATATCAGCTACTGCCTGCTCCCCTCACCCTCTGCACTGTTGCCTCTATATCAGAGGCAGCAGTGCAAGGGTGAGGGAGAACTGGCTTTTAAGCCATCTCCTCACTGGCACAGGTTCCCACCTTCTCCCCCTTTGCTGCCTTTGATTCACACAGAGCAAGGGGGAATGTGTGTAGTAGACAGGATTAATAGGTAAACCCAGGCTTATCGGTTAATCATGTATTCATCTACACATTGACATTCCTATCTTATCATTGCATAATTGTATGGGTTTCCATTCCTCACCACAATAAACTGCAGTGTACCAATTTTGACATCTTATATGAAATGGCAGCAGCACTTTTTATATACTTGACTGTACTTTGCTATTACTGTGGCAATCCTTACTTTCAGGATTTTTATTTATTTGTTTGTTTGTTTTATTGTACAGGGTGCTGGTGTTGAGCTGCACCCAGGAAGCACAGCCATTTTGGAGGGCAACAAAATTCACCACTGCAATAACTTGAAAATCAGTGAGACTTCACAGAGTGCCCTAGGTGGAATTAATATTAAGGTAACTAACTGTGCTGGGTTCTCCTAGCAATTGTAACTGGCACTTCTAAAAAATAATAGCTGTACTGTTACAAATGCAGAAGTTAGCGGAAGCTGAAGAACTACGGAACATGTTTTTTCTGAAAATTACATTTCTTCAGTTAAAATTTCAAACTCAAGAATTCATTGGCTAAGTCCATGGCTACCAACTGGTTAATTGATTAAACAGGAGAGGGTGGGGCCAGAGTAGCCTCCACACGGCAGGCTGGGCCGGGGGGCAGGCTGGGACTGGTCCAGCCTGGCTGCTTCCAGCCCCAGGGTTGGGAGTTGGCAGCCTCACATTGGGCCAGAAGCAGGGGATGGGACTGCTGGTTCTAGCTGTTGACACTCAGCCTGTGAGCCACAGGCAGGGGACTGCTCCTGAGTAAAGGTTAACTGTTACCCAGTAAACATTGCCCATTAAGGATGAGGCTTACTGGGTAATCAGCTAACTGGTTACTCATTCATATCCCTACTACCAACCACTAGTGTGGATTTTCATGAATGCTATCAGGCAAGCTCTAAGGGGGGGGGGCATTTCTCAGCTTCTTAAACACCACCTGTTTAGCAGTTACTGATCATAGAATCATAGAGCTGGAAGAGACCTCAGGAGGTCATCAAGTCCAGCCCAAGGCAGGACCAATCCCAGCTAAATCAACCCAGCCAGGGCTTTTTAAGTCAAGACTTAAAAACCTCTAGGGTTAGAGATCCCACCACCTCCCTAGGTAACCCATTCCAGTGCTTCGCCAACCTCCTAGGGAAATAGTTTTTCCTAATATCCAACCTAGACCTCTCCCACTGTAACTTGAGCCCATTGCGCCTTGTTCTGCCATCCGTCACTACTGTGAACAGCCTTTTCCCATCCTCTTTGGAACCTCCTTTCAGGAAGTTGAAGGCTGCTATCAGATTCCCCCCCCCCCCCCCCCTGAACAGCCTTTCTCCAGCCTCTTTGGAACCTCCCTTCAGGAAGTTGAAGGCTGCTATCAAATCCACCCCCCTCCCCCACTCTTCTGCAGACTAAACAAACCCAAATCCCTCAGTCTCTCCTCATAGGTCATGCGCTCCAGCCCCCTAATCATTTTGATCGCCCTCCGCTGAATCCTCTCCAATGTGTCTGCATCCTTTCTATGATGGGGAGCCCAGAACTAGACACAATTTTCCAGATGTAGCCTCACCAGAGCCAAATAAAGGGGAATAATCACTTCTCTGGATCTGCTGGCAATGCTTCTCCTAATGCAACCTAATATGCCATTAGCCTTCTTGGCTACAAGGTCACACTGTTGACTCATATCCAGCTTCTTATCTACTATAATCCCCAGGTCCTTTTCTGCAGAACTGCTACCTTGCCGGTTGGTCCCCAGCATGTAACAATAGGCTTTGGATTCTTCCACCCCAAGTGCAGGACTCTGCACTTGTCCTTGTTGAATCTCATCGGATTTTTTTTGGACCAATCATCCAATTTGTCTAGGTCACTCTGGACCCTATCCATACCCTCCAGCATATCTATCTCTATCTCCCTCTTATCCCATCACTATTCCCTCATCCAAGGTTCTGAGAGCTGACTAAGGGCATTTAGTACCTTGGATAGTCAGAGTGTTGTGCTTGGAAGGATTGTCTTGGGAGGAGTTTCTAGGTGCAGGTTTCTTGTGGTGGATTAATAGAGTGTCTTTGCTGCATAGGCTTCTTCAGAGGCAGCAGGGTTGGAGTGTTTTAGGGGAAGAGAGGCAGATCTAAAATCCACCATAGCCTTACACATAAAGGTAGCAAATTAAAAACTAAGATTTTGTAATGGATATTTTTAGTGAGTCAGGGATTGGTCCAGACACTAAAGAAAAATTCATAGAAGTCTGTGACCTGTCACTGACTTTTACTAAAAATATCAGTGACAGAATGGGAAACTACTGGGTAGCTGTAGGGCTGGCTTAAAGCTCTACAGTCCCCCTGCTACCCACAGGAGGTATCCCACAGTTCCCAGCTGCTAGGGGCTGAAGTCATTGTGATCTCTGGAAGTCACAGAATCTGTGACCTCCTGACAAAATTGTAGCCTTATGTGAAAACTACACACTGCAGAATTAATTTGAATTATCTTCACTCAAGTTACTTCTTGAATTAGCCTATCTTGAATGGCCCCATTGCAAAACAGTCAAGCTGCTGTGTTCACACTAGCACTGCACTCATTCATGCATGGCATTTAAGATTTCTGAGGACATATCTCATGGCTCTTTACAGTGCAGTAATGTGAGCTTCTCCATCAATGTCCCAGTGAATTGTGGGAGAACATGTCTTTCCTTTCTGGGCATACAGGCAAGTTGTGGGAAATTGGTAGAAGACTGTTGCCATTTGAGTGGAGTTTGCATTCATCCTCCAGAAAGGTAGAGAGAGTAGGTAATGAGTTAAGCTCAACTGAGCGTCTCTCTCTTAATAGGCCAGCCAACTCTGTTTAAGCACTGTCAAGGTCACTGCAGTGGAAACAAACCCTGCACTAGGATTGTACCTCAGGTCAGCTAACTAATTAGCAGTGCACTTTTTTCCCACTTGAGAAAAGGCCTTAGTGTGAATAAATTTCCCTTCACTGCTGTGCTTTAACTGGTTTTTACAGTTGCTTTCACTCTACTCAACAGTTAAGAATTTACCTTGAATTCTTCATAGTTTCTAGGTTCTTTGGGGTCAACTTCTATCACATTTTAGTTTCCTTCTGCAAGGTTATTAAGCACGTGTTAACTGACTAATCCTTTCTTTGGTTAGAATATACTAGGGGGCTGTGCCCCCTGCTTGCTACACTCACCAGTCCCCCTTTGTCGGGGGTAACAGGGAAGCAACCCCAGCCTTCTCTCCTTCCCCCCCAGCCATGCCAGTCCAGGCCCTTTCTACCTCATAGCCCCATCAACCCTGTTTATCAAATAGTCGACAGGATAGTCAACTAGTTGCTCCCCCCCCCCCCCTTGCTGTTTCTATCAGATAGAGGCAGCAAAGGGTGGGAGGAAGAAGAGGGGATACCTCAAAGTGGCAACACTGCCCAGAGTCAGCTGCTCCATGCAGTACTGCTGCTTTGAATACTGTGGGAAGCCAGTGTCAGGCTCCTTACGGTATTTGAAAGAGGCAGGGCTGCTTGGAGCTCAGGATCAGCTGGGCCTCTGTCCAATTTGAAATGCTGCATGGAGCCCAGGACCAACTGGAGATTCAAGCTGATGGGGGCTCCATGCAGCGCTGCTGCTTTGAAATGCAGTGGGGAGCCAGCATTTCAAAGCGGCAGCGCTGCACAGAGCCCAGGGTCAGTGGGGGGGGGCTTCAGCGCTTTTGCCTTTCAAGTGTAGCAACAGCCCTAGGGCTGTTGTTACACTTCAAAGGCAGAGGTGCCCTATCGACTAATTGAATAGTCGATGCAAAAATGCATCGACTACTCTATTAGTCAGTTACCTGATACTTAACATCCTTAGTCTGGGCCCTTTCCCTTCCCTGCCAAGTGAGGCCCTGCCCCCCAGCAGCCAGGGAAAGCCAAGGTGGTGGCACCCCAGACCTGGCTCTCCATGTGCCCACTGGAGAGTGCCGGGCTGGCAGTGGGTGGAGTTTAGCTCCAGGGACGAAGGAGGGGGCTGAACTTTATCTGCCCATGCCTACTCTCCTAGCCCTTGGACGCTGTGATATGATATTACTCGGTCATCCCACAATACATTTTTATTTTTTTATATAATTTACACAGAGAGAGACAGGGAGATGAGCTACAAAAAGACAGCTGTCTATGTAGTAGCATTTTGCCCATGAGCCAACACAGCATGTTTTCATAGTTTGACTTAGATGCTAATAGTCCCATCTACTCCAACCACTTGTAGATCACAGGTTGTTGAGTTTTACCATATTATTCCTGTGTGGAGCTCCATAATTTGACTGAACTAAAGCATATCTTCCACAAAGGCCTTCTGTCTTGATTTGACAATATCAAGAGATAGAAAAATCATTGCCTGATATTGTAATTTGTTCCAATGGTTAATCACTACAAGGTTGAACTTGTAGGAACTAGCACTTAAAAAAAATTGAGCAAGATTAATCTGGTAGTTATTGAGACAACTAGCAGATGTACCTGGCATAGCTCAGGTTTTCAAGTGTAGTATTTTAACTAAAAGGAAAATGTACATGCTTTATTTAAATGATGGGGCTCAGGGCAGAGAGTGGAGGGAATGTATGAGTCAGGGCAGAGGATGGAGGGCTCAGGGCTGGTAATTAGGTGTGTGTGGGAGGCTCACACCATGGGGTGGAAGTACAGGAGTGAGGGCATGGGGCTGGAGGGTTCAGGGAAGGTAGTTGGGTGTGTGGACAGGGACTGAAGGGTGGGGTGGGACAGAGGCTTTTCCCCTTAAGCACTGTTTTGGGACTGTGGGGGCCACTTACCTGCTCAGTTGCAGAGCCCTGGCCCCAGCTGACCAGTCTCTTGCTGGTGTGGCTGCCCCCAGTGGTTTTTCTGCAGTATAGCTCTCTCCTGCAGGCTTGCTGCCACCAGTGGCTAGTCTCAATATCACATCTCTTCTTTCTGCCCCTCTCTTTTCAAATTCTGGAACAGAGTCCCATTCCCGGCATTTCTTGTTTTTCTGGCATAACCCAAACCCTCGACCTTGCTTCATGTTGGGTTAAAGGAAGCTGCATACCAAATTCTGTGGCCCTAGCTCTTGCTGTTTAGGAAGAGGTCTTGGACAAATGGACTGGCAGGCAGGCACTGACAGATTCACACACACAATATATAAAGAGATTGTTACAATGAAGGTTTTGCTGTAGGAGTAAAAATATACACATAAGGAATAAATGAACAAGGAGATCTTGTAAAATTTCTTGATGTTTAAATTCTCAGTTTTTCCTCAGTCTTCTCTTGTTAGCATCTGTACTAATGGTTTGAACATGGAATATGTCATGTGTCTTGTAGATGTGCAGTCAAAGTGCTGAGCAGTAGTAGCATTTCTGTCAGAAATAGGAAAACTGAATTTCAGTCCCATTATTAACTGTTGCTAGGGCAGCAAAGTAGGGAAGCTAGAAATAGTTTATTTTATTTAGTAATTGTGTAGCCGCAACAATTCTCGGCAGTTACTTAGTTACTAAAATGCTCCCCCCGCCTGAAAGGAACGGTAGCCAGTGTGTTTCTGGCCCCACTTCCAGGGAGCCCCCCTTGCCATCCCACACGTCTGCCTCTGTATTAGAGGTAGCAGTGCAGGGTGGCAGGCAGCTCCCCCGTGTGCTCGTCCTTTAAAACTCGGATTGGCGTGATGGGACTGAACCAGCCTGACAGTCTGAATTTTAAGTGCAAAGCATTTAGCCGGAGGGAGATGTTGCGATTAACCAGGACCATTAATCGATAAGCAATTGGTTAAATGGCTAGCCAACTAATTGATGATATCCCTACAGCAGAGGTAACTGGTGAATGGATTGTAAGCGAATAGTTATTCTGTACTTTGTGAATGTTACTTAAATATAGTAACAGTAGAAAGTGGGAAGCTTCAAAAGATGTGAAATGAAATTTAAATAAATTGAAACTGTAGTCTTACTAGTAAAATAATGAGTGAAACTGTATTTACTAAATCTTTCCAGATTTGGATTAGATTGCTCCTTTTAACAGTTACGAGTGTACAAAACTGGGATAAGGCATTGCCATTTTGAGAGGAATACTTAGAATTACAAAGCAAACTGGGTTTCTTTTGAATGTGGATAGTGCAAGCATCCTTTTATGCCATGTTTAACAGTGTAGAACACAATGCAGCCTTCAAAACTAGTTTGTTTTGAATTCTTAACAGGTTATTCCTGTTCCCAAACTGAAGATGAAAAACAATCACATTTATAACAATAATGGATATGGAGTGACCATCCTTCAGCCTACAGATCAGCTCTCTACTGCAGGAGGGATACTAGAATTTACTGCATCAGGAGATGCAGAGGAAGATACACTTTCCAAACTAATGCATGAATTGAGCCTAGAGATGAATAGCAACACACTAGAGGATACCAAGGGCCTCAGCATAGTTAATAATTAAACATGCATTTGATGTATGTTTTGGTATATAACAATTATTTCATTAAAACAGCAGTACTCCAAGTTGAAGACTGTTTGTCTTAAATGCTTCTTTGAATTGTTATGGAAAATGGCGAGAGCTTAGTGCACTTTGCTAACTTTTAGAGCATCAAACACACACACATTCAGTCATGGGTAAAAGAATGGCTCATTTGACTTACTAATCTAAATGGGGAACAGGTATTTTCTTCTCAGCAGGCCAGGCATGGTCATTTTGTAACACTGAACAGCCTGGGTCTACAGTAGTCTGGTTCTGTTTCTCCACTGTTACTTCCACTGGTATATCTGCATTGGCATGAACAGTTGAGCACTAATGTAGAACACACTTATCTTGTCATTATCCAGATCCACTCTGAATAGAATTAGACAACTCTAGCTAAAATGCCAGTGCTAATTTATTCACTGAGTCTCCTATTGTGGTTATCATCAGTAGAGCTGCGTGAGGAAACATGGATAATGGAAAATCTCTTACCTGGTAATTTTGTAGTAGCAACATCCATAGTTCTGCTCAACAGTGTGGGCTATTTCTCTCTTGGCTGCAGTTTGCATAGGCATTTCAAAGCTGTTCTAGCTACACCCTTCTCAAGTCTGCTGCCAGATGATTCATTTGAAAATGGTAAAAAACATGTTTTCTACAATAATTCTACTTTCTTCCACTTTGCATTTTTATGATTGGCAAACTGGTCAACTGAAGGGAACTGAACTTTTGTGTGGAAGACCATTCTGAGTTGACATAATGGCTGAGCTAGTTTGCCTTTTGGTTCGGCTTTTCTTTCATGCGGATTATTTTTGTGCAAGAGAGAATCTCTTCTGCCCTTTATCTCCATGTAGAGCAATGCTTTTTTCGCCCTCTTTGGTTGTATGCAACCATTGTCATGCTGTGTGACTCACCAGAATGTAGTTGCTTTCCAGGTAGCTCTGGAATTTCAGAACAGCTGATTTGACCCCCTCTGAGCTCCAAAGGATTGATGCCGATTCCTTTCCACAGGCTTCAGATGTACAGTGTCCAGCTGGAGCCAGAATCCCCAACCCTCTGCCCTAGTCATGAACCTTCTCTGCTCCCCAAACCCTGAGCTCCTTGGATCCAAACTCCCTTAGAGCTTGTACCCTGAACCCCTCCTGCACCTAAGCCCCTGCACCAGGTTCAGCTCAGAGCTGCGTTCTCACTCCAAATCCCCAACCCTCTGTCCCAGACTGGTGAAAGGAAGGAAGGGTTGGGAGGGAGGGAGGATGTAGTGAGCAGGGGCAGGGCCTTGGAGAAGGGGTACAAAGGAAGTGGGGCAAGGCTATTTGGATTGCACTTAAATTCAAAAAGTGATCTTGTGCTTAAAATGATTGGAGACCATTGGCTTCAGAAGAAAGGCCCGGGAGAGGCACCTGGTTTGATCTTGCCTATGGAGACCCAGTAGCTGAAGATGCTCAGTTGCGGTTGGGCTAATGCATTGGTCAAGCATAGATATCATATAGTTATTATTCTAGTATTTGTTGAGTTATGGTTGGCAGACTTGACAGATCAGTACTGCAAACGTTCTACCAGGTGAACAATCTTTGTTGAGGAAACTCAGGAACTTTTCTTTGTGTTTATTGCAAATCTGTGTGCTTGCAGGAGATTCAGAATCTGGATTGTGGCACTGTATACTGCAGAACAGAGCTCGTTCACAAAGGGATGTGTGTGAATACTCTGGGATCTGAGTCTGCCCATGATTACGATCAGCATCTTCATAACTTTCTTGGTGCCACCAAGAGACCAAATGTCAGTTTTTGTAGAGATCTGTGCAATTAAACAAATCCTGGGGCACAGTAGAATGTGGAGGTAGGAGTCTGCCAAAACCACTCCCCCGCTGGCCTGAGCTCCCTGTGGGACTTCTGCTTTTGAACTGTAGCAAGAGCCCCACTGGGGCTCTTGTATATTTCAGAAGCAGAGTCGCAGCAGAAGTGGCACTGGCAGAGACTGCTTCAGTCTCTGCTTGTGCCATTTCTGCGGTGGCTCTACCTCCCCTGTCCCCCACTTGCTGCTTCTCTCTGATAGAGAAAAGGGCGGGGGAGGGGAGAGGGAAGGTGCGACTAGTCGCATCACTAGTCAACTATCCGATAAGCTTCAACTACTCTTACATCCCTAGTTCTTACTCTTTTCAAGAGACTCCTAATTTCCTCTCTGATTACTTGAAAAGGTTGAGTGCAAGGTTCACTGTGTGAGGAGAGTGTTGAAGAGGTGTTTACTCTGAGGCTTACTGTAAGGGTCTGCTCAGGTTGGATCTGGACTGTGGATACCACTTTTGCACATTCTTAGGTCTCCCTGTTCTGCACAGTTGGGCATTTCTGGAATGAAATCAGTTTCTAGAAGGGACAGAGGTCTTAATATGCTTGTCCAACTCCAAGTTCTGAGCACAGCCATGCTAAGATTAGCTGGCTGAGGACAGGGCAGGCATAATTTGGTCTCTCTAGAGCCTTTTAGGCTTAGCCCAGTGCTTATACAGCTACTTGTCATCCCTTGCAATGGAGCCTTTGGATGGCTTTAGCCACCTGCTTCTACATGCTTAGTCCAGGAGGAGGGGAGATCAAAGATAACTGCTTGCTAATGCCCCCAAATGAAAAAGTATAAAAAGGAAAGTTGGGAGCAGAGAACCAGCACTGAGTGCTAAGTGGAAGCAAGTTCTTGCCCTCAGGTCAAGAAAGGGGGTATATGTCTAGCACAGAGTATGCTATAGCTTTTAACTGGGAATGTGAATAGTTAAGGCTGAAGCAGCCCCCCACCGAAACAGGCAGAGGGTGCTCCAGCCCATCCAGAGCAGCCTTGATCCAGCCTGGGCACACCATAGGCAGGGCCACTCCAGCACAGCTGGAGCAGCTCGTCCTCAGCAAGGGATGGGGCTACTCCAGCCTCCCTCCCCTTTCCCAGTTTAATTGGTTAACTGGTTAAACAAAGTTTAACCAGTTAACTACACAAGATTTTAGATCATTACTATTAACAAGAGACCCACAAAGTTGACCTTTATACCTACACAAAGGATTGAGTTTGGGGCAGTGCTCAGTGCCACCAGGATGTGAGATTTCCTCCCAGAACGTTGCTTAACAACAGTGATCCAGATGTTCATGTCACTAGCTGACTTTTCAGTCACCACAGCCAGAACTTGTCTTCTCGGTCACATGGTAGCATCACATACCTAGTCCTGCTCACCAGACTCCATCTGAGGCCCCTCCACTCCTGGCTCACGTCAGTGTATCCTTTGGGGCGCAACAATCTCACCATGGTAGTCACAGTTCCACAACACGTGACTCATGCTCTCAGGTGGTGCCTGGACCCCAAGTCAGTGTTAGTTGGTGTCCTGTTCCATGATCCATAACCCACAATGTCTCCCATCACAGATGCATCTGCTTTGGGCTGGGGGTGGAAAGGGGCAGGGAGGGAAGCCTGCACATCTGGGGAATCTTACCACACAAGCCATGTGGATAGGAGAAGCCTTCCCTTCACCTTAACGTGCAGCAACTCAGGGTGGTTCACATAGCATGCCTAGTCTGTCTCCCTCTCTCACATCTGGGGGACGTGAGCAGCACGTGGTCCTCTCTGCTCTGTTAGGAAGCCCATTGCCTGTGGGACTTGTGCATAGCCCACTTTGTTCACCTGGAGATGGCTTACCTCCTCAGGGTCCAGAACCAGCTGGTGAATCACCTCAGCAGGCAGTTCTTTGGACATGAGTGGTCGCTTTGGCTGGACATCCTCCAAAGGTGGGAGTTTCCCTGGGTTAGACCTCTTTGCAACTTGGGAGAACCGGAAGTGCCAACGTTTCTGCTTATTCTGGAATCCAGCCCTGGGTCGGTGGTGGACTTATTTCTGATTCCATGGCTGACCAGCCTGCTATATGCTTTTCCACCATTCCTGTTGATTCACAAGGTGGTCCTCAAGCACAGCAGAGAGAGCAGACATCATCCTGGGCCTGGACTCCACTGGTACCCCATGCTTGCGGAACTGCTCTTCCACTACTGCCACACCCCATCACTCAGGACCATGGGTGCCTGCATCACCCAGACCTGCACTCGCATAACCCTCATGACTTGGCTCCATGGTGGAATCTGACTGAACAGGCCTGCTCCGCGCAGGTTCAACATGTACTCCTCAGTAGTCAGAAATCTACCAGACTCATGTACCTGGCAAAGTGGAAATGATTCTCATGTTGGTGCCTGAAGCACAACCTTGGACTCTCTTTCTACCTCTACTCTGCAGGTGCTTGACTATCAGGTATCCCTGGAGCAACAAGGTCTAGTGTCCACTTCGCTCCACGTGCATCTGGCAGCCATCTCTGCCTTTCATCCAGAAGACGCAGCCTGCCTGGTTTTTCTCAAGCCCCTTAACAGGATTATTCCTCAAGGGGATGGGCAGGCTCCACCCTCCAGTTGGTCACCCTGACCCCATCTGGGATCTTAACCTCGTCTTCTCTACTCTCACGGGTCCAACATTTGAGCAGTTAGCTACTTGCGCTCTCCTTTACCTGTCCTGAAAAGTGGTCTGGTTGCCATCACCTCTGCTTGCAGGGTTTCCGTACTTTGTGTCCTGGCTTTGGAGCCTCCATTCACAGTCTTTCACGAGACCCAGGGATCGAAAGAGATGAGTTTTGTGTTTCTTGAAGGGAGTCAGCCCTTATAAGGCAGTCATCCAGATAAGGGAAGATGGACACTCCGTCTGCACAGCTGAGCTGCGACTACTGTCAGTACCTTGAAGAATACCCTCGGTGTGGTGGAAAGGCCGAAGGGGAGTACCATATCTTGAAGTGGTGTCCACTCGCAGTAAATCTGAGGTATTTCCTGTGCACTGGGTGGATAGTCACATGGAGATAGGCATCCTGGAGGTCGAGACTCGCCAACCAGTCGTCTTTGTTGAGGGAGGGGATGGTGGAGAGGGTAACCATATGGAAATGTTGGTAAAGAACATGACTATTAAGGCCTCTGAGATCTAAGATTGACCTCCATCCCCCTGACTTCTTTTCCATGAGGAAATATTGGGAATAGTGTTGCGGTACTGATGGGGAACATGTTCCACTACTTTGATGGAGAACAGGTGGTTGATTTGGCATAGAATGAACTTCTGAGATGGGTCCCTGAAGAGGGAGGAGGTGGGTGGTCGGGGTTTTGGGATGAACAGAAATGGTATGCAGTACCTGTTCATGATGTCCAGCACCCACTTGTCGGATGTTATAAGGGACCAGTGACGACAGAAAGATGTGTGGATATTGGAGAACCATGAAGGATGGGAAGGGAGGGACGAATCTGACAACTCCTGACCTGAGCTTCAAAACATTTTTCTATTATTAGAGGGCTGGGATGGGGTGCGCTCATCAGCAGATTGCTGCCTTCTGCCTTAGCGCAGGCACTTCCTCTGGTCTTAGTGCCTCTGCGGTTGAGTAAAAAAGGCAGGTCCATTTCTTTGTGTGTAACCTTTGTTTTATTTTCATTTTGGCACAGGAACCTGAATGCCCAGCATGTGAAAAGTGGCCCTAGAATCTTTCAAGGAGTGCAATGAAGTGTCGGTAAACTCCGAAGAGCTTTGGGCCCTCAAATGGGAGGTCTTCTACCCTTGTCTGGACTTCTTTCAGGAAGCCAGATATGTGGAACCATGACTGCGGCTGCAAGGGAATGAGTGGTGGTGTCAGCAGAGTCGGGGCAGCCTGTAGGGTTGTCCTGGCTATTAGGGAGACCTCATTTGTGTTGGCTTTAAAGTGCTCCCTTTATTGTTCTGGAAGATACTGAATAAAAGTGGAGATCTGCTCGAAGATGTGATGTGTATACTTTGCAAGCATAGCCATATAGTTCGAGATGCGTAGCTGGAGGGAGACAGAGGAGTAGGCTTTTCTGCCCATAAGGTCAAGTTGTTTCCACTCCTTAAGATGGCAAGTGGATTTTGATAAGGTATGCTTGGTCCTCTGGTTGGCAGCATCAACTGAGGGAATTGGCAGGTGGCTGTGAGAAGAGGAACTCTGCAAGGAGACGTATTTTCTATTTGCCTTCTTCCCCACTGAGGATATGGTAGCGGGTGTTTGCCACAGTTGTTTAGTGGGATCCATTAGGGTAGGGTCTAGGGGTAGCGCTAATTTAACCGCTGGCGTGGCATGTTTGGTGTCAGGCTGTGTTGTTAATGAAATTTCTAATACATCAGCCACTCTTTTAAAAAGGTCCTTGAAAGCCCTGGAATCATTGCCTGCTGAAGGAGATGGTAGCATGAGGGCATCCTCCGGAGGGGAGGACAACTCAGTTGGTGGATGAGATGAATCAGAGTCAATGTTTCTGAAAGGATGTCAGTTTGATCCCGAGACACATCTAGGGAGGTCATGGATGTGGGTCTCAAGTGAACCTGATCAGAATGATGGTATTGTTGCTGCTGCTGGTGTGTTCTGAAAGATGCCCACGAGTCCGCAGTAGGACCAAGTGGGAGGCAGGGGCATAGGAGGTGGTAGCCATTGGTTGGAGTGCGCCACTGAGGTATCATAGGTTGTGGCTGAAGCATCTTTCTCTTAGGAGAGGAATGCCTGGATGACATGGTGTTTGGGAAAGATGAGGCTTCCTCCTCACTAGATAAAGGAGGTGCAGAAGCTGTTCTAGTTGCTGGAGAGAACCTGGCTGGTGCCAGGGAGGTGTCAGTACCAAAAAGCGGAGTTGTAGGTACTGAGGTAACTTTTAGTTGGTCTGCAGATGTAAATGAGTAAGTTTGAGGCATAGGTGGCAGGCGGTACTGTGCCTGTGTGCCTTTTGACTTGCCAGGTACCGGGAAAGGCACACATACCAACAGTGTGGAGTGTGGGGCTTTGGTAAAACTGCTGGTTTTAATCAATAGCGGAGGACAGTGTGGGCACTCACCTTCCTAGGAAACAAATTCTTGCAGCCTATTCACCTTGCTATAGAGATATGCATTTCAGTTAGTAGTAATGATGTTACAAATTGCAACTCTTTACAAATCACTAGTTTGTGCCAGTTTTCTCCTTGGTACCTCCTTGTACTTTTCTATATTTGAGTTAATGAGCCATGAAAGTACATAGCTGTACTTGATACAAAACTTTCAATGTGTCTTTGCTTTGACAAGTTTCCTATTTACTGAAATTGGCATTGCAAAGTGTCATAAGAATCCTGACTTGTGAACAGATCTGTAGGGAGAGCATAACACAATATAACTTCCCAACACAGTGTATATCAATATAGTGTATGGTATAGTGTAATTCAATATGGTGCTCATAAGATCTATTAATGTAGTTTATTCACACCTTACTATACATAGTGCCTAACAAGTCCTATGATTTCAATCCTCTGCTTCTGTTTATTCAGTACAATTGTGACCTGAATCAGCAACTAATTGTAGCCCTTCCAATTCTGAAGAACTGTTGATATTTGCCCCACATGCTCTTTTACACCCTAGAATAAATAAAAAGCAGCTTGTTCTGAATTTCTCATAACTCCTATAGACAGATGCTAAACCTAATAGGAAACAGCTATGCCCAAGTCCGGAATTACAAAACATATTAAGTCTTGAAAACAGAACACTTTATTAAGAACAAAGTATACAGACTGTGGTAGTCTATATCAAGGACTTAATATTTTACATATTACCACCACTAATCCTAAACAATTCATTTCAAGCTACTGTGAACAAGTAGAACGACAGACTTCTGTATTAGCATCAAAGAAATTCCAAAAGGAAACATGCACATTTTTGTAGAGTAAAGAAAAACTCGAATGGATTTCAATAACCACCACGTCCCCTTCCTTGGCCTCCATACCCACCTCCGTAACTACCTCTATTCCCACCACCTTGATACCCTCTATATCCCCCACCGGAACCTCGATACCCTCCCCCAGACCCTGAATATCCCCCTCCACCTCTATAACCTCCCCCAGAACTACCCTGGTATCCTCTTCCTCCAGAGCCACCTCGGTATGAGTTATATCCACCGCCATAGCCCCCACCTCTATAGCCTCCACCGCCATAGCCATAGCCACGCTGGTTAGCTCCCCGCCCTCTGAATCCACCTCCATTGTCATATCGAGCCATTTTGGGTGGACGAGGACCATCTCCAAACCTAGGAAAGAAAAAGTTTTAAGAAAAAATGAAATGCAACACCCACTATTTTATAAGGATTCAATATTTTATAAAAACATAAAACTTCCATTTCTTCTATGTAGCAGAACAGAACATTCAACTCTCACCCCCAACGTAGACATTTGCTTCATGTAAAACTTCATTAAAAAGCAGCCCAGAGTGATTTCCTCTAGTTCAGGATCAGACCCAGTCCCAAAAAATTCTAAAGCTTATATAAATTATGCAATGATGTGAAATTTGTCAAAAACAACTTGTTTAAGTGGGGTGGCAGTTTTCAACTTGCATGGGAAGTGCTAGGATCCCTATTGTGCCCTTTACTGTGGTATGTTTACAAATCCAGAAATTGATCCTTCATTTTCATCAGTTACCTACACTCTGTATAGCTGAGTCCTCACTTTCGATAAATTACATCAGAAATAAGGAGTGAACCAGATCATTAGAAGCAGGGCTATTCTATTATAATGGAGTATGTCAGGCAGCCACATTAAGACTTTTTTTTCAATTGTTTATAACTTTGCCAAAGTTTCATTATGGGGCTGAAGTTTTCCATGCGAGCCTCTTGCCTCAGGCTGAATTTCAATCAGTGGTTCTGCTATTTCCGTTTGAGGCAACTGCTAAGAAAGGTCCAATGATACACAGAAAGCACAGTTTCTCTTCTGCTTATGCAACTGAATAATGAACATTAAAGTCTTGGGGGTCATTAACATTTAGCCCGTAAATTCACTGAGCATTTGAGAAAATAGCAGGAAAGAGCCTGCGGGAGAAGGAAGAAAGGACTGGAAATAAGATGTGCTTGATATAGGAAAGATATGGGGGTGGGGTGAAAGAGAGCACTAGAGAGTCAGCCTATTGCTCAAAGCAGAAAGGATACCGAAACAGGAAGTCCCCCACCCCCAATTCCTAGGCAGCCTTCCAGCAGCAATACTAGGACTGATACTGAAGAAGAGAAAAGATTCTTTGTTAGAACATTCATGTGTATACACCACAAAGGACTACAGTTCCCTTTCCCCTATACACAGCCATGTGTAACAGTGGTATTAAAACACACAAATAGATACTGTATTATGAGAAGTGGTGAAACTGGTGTGTAGGGAGATTAGCTATTTTCAGATACTTTTATAAACATTGCGAAAGTGCTTCTTGCTATAATGGTTTACAGCTAACTAAGCAACACATGGGCTGCATCTAGACTGGCAAGCTGTCTACACTGGCCGCTTGAATTTCCGCAAGAACACTGACGATCTCATGTAAGATTGTCAGTGTTCTTGCGGAAATGCTATGCTGCTCCCATTCGGGCAAAAGCCCTCTTGCGCAAATGCTTTTGTGCAAGAGGGCCAGTGTAGACAACGCGGTATTGTTTTGCGCAAAAAAGCCCCGATCGCGAAAAGTGCTTTTGCGGAAAAGCGTCCATGCTAATCTAGATGCTTTTTTCCGCAAATGCTTTTAACGGAAAAACTTTTCCATTAAAAGCATTTGCAGAAAATCATGCCAGTCTAGACGTAGCCATGTAGTTTATGATGGTTTAGGTGCCTGGAGCACTTCTTTGATTTCTATCATTCTTTATACAGACTAATTAAGAAGCTTCAGCAACCATTCTCTACAAGAGAAATCCCTGCCCTGATATGTACTTTGCCCACACTGAATCTGATTAATCAGGTTAGTGTTTTCTACTCTGAAGCAGCCATTAGAACTAAGGGGAATCCCAGCATATCACACACTGAATAGATAAGCACTCAAAAATGATGCTCTGATCTCTTCAGGAAGAATACCTGTGACACAACGGAGAAGTCAAACATTACCAACAAAATATATGTATTACCTGAAGTTCAACCACTATTATAGCTCCAGAAATTTGGGCAAAGTCATCTTTATAGCTTTCTGTTCTGCATAGTAAGCAGTACAAATTGATGTGAAGGGTATGAAATTGCAGACAAGCAATTTAAATATCCTTGAGAGGGGGAAGTCACATATGCTCAGAGTATGTAAAATTCAGTCGACAAGTTAATGCCCACTCACTACTGCTACTCCACATTAACCCCACAGGTGCCAGCCCATAGGATTTGCACACCAGCATAACACAGCCTCCTCGATTACAGCCAGTATATTCTGAATTTGATAGCAGGGTTAAACTGAAATTAGCTTGCTCATACTTCATACCAAGATCAATTTTCTGGACTGAAGTTTACTGCAGACCAATGAAACAGTTACTCCTTCAGCATACCAAGTTGCTATACTCTCTGAAGTGTGTTGAAAGGTTTCTATTTCAAGGCCTAAGGGTTATGTTATTTCATTTTCTCGAAAAAACTATCCCCCCCCTTATTTATAATTCTGCCAGTAACAAGAGTGACACATGCAGTTTTGGGAAGGAATTACAGTAAATATACTTTGAATTGCTTGGCTGCCATGATGTGTATTTCCCAAAGTCATGTGTAACCTACACAGTTGCTTAGAGTGGTGCACTGTCCCATTTAGCGGCAATGAGACCACTTCCAGAGAGAATGAGCCTACTTTACAGCCTTAGCTAACAGCCAACTGGGCTCATGCACTAAGCTCCAAAGGTTCCAGGGTTGATTCCACCTTTCAGCATTACACGTGCACGAGTAGAGCAATTCCCTCTTAATTCATCTGTACAAAAGCATGCACCAAGTTTGTCATCATCCATTTGAACCGTCACTGCTTGGACAGCCTCTTAGGAAGTTTTCCAGTCATGAGTAACTGAAAATATGAGTGTATAAAAAATTCAGCACTTATCTACATCATACAGCCTGCTTCCAAACTAAAGACCACAACAGGAGTTCCTGCAGGCATAAGAGTTCAGACACACAGTTGACCTTTGGAATGTTTAGGCATTCCAAGTTACCAGGACCGTTGTTTTCCTACTACAAGGATCCAGCTGTATATGAATAGAGCTAACCTTGTGTTGCAAGCCATGAGGTTGATGCCAGCCGCTGAAGGCCTGGAGATTTGGCGGATCACATTCAGCATTCTCTCATTCACTGGGTCCAGCTGGCTAATGATTTCAGGATCCTTAGTTACTTCAACGACAAGAGCTTCCATTGCTGCACGCAGGGCAGTGATACAGGCAGCTGCATCATGAGACATCCGCAGTTTAATCCTAGAGCAGGAAAGACGACATTTCAAAATGTAGACATCTCTAGATATACAGCATTATAAGCTGTAGGAGAGAGGCTACAGAGAACAATGTTCCACAGAGCAGGTATTTCATGCATCTTGTACCAACCATCACAGAACACACAACTTCAAAGCTTGGAGTATGGGTAACACCCTAACAATGGGAAATGAGGCCATCTGAAATGAAAACAGTATGACTGGCAATACATGAGATTCCCCAGCATAGAGGAAAAAAAAGATCAGAAACCAATTAGAACCATTGTCAACATTTTCAACTTCTTGCTTTTTGGACCTGGAACACTGCAGGTACTACCAGTTACCACCTCACTAACTTCTGGGATTCAAATATGCCAAAACATTAAAGCAAGCTCAAAAATATAGGGACTATTCAAGGCTCTATTATGGATACAAGAGTATCTCTCCAAAAACTACCTGTCATCCAATATCAAATTTGACAAATGTTAGTAAGCCTTAACCACCCTGGGAAATGGGTAGGCATTAATCTCATTTTAAAGATTGGGAAACTGAGTTAAAAAATCAAGTATCAGAGGGGTAGCCGTGTTAGTCTGAATCTGCAAAAGCGACGAGGAGCAAATTCCCAGCACCAAAAAGACCCACTTCGTCAGATGCATGTAGTGGAAATTTCCAGAGGCAGGTATAAATATGCAGGCCAGGATCAGGCTGGAGATGACAAGGTGGATCCAATCAAGGAGGATGACGAAGGGGGTCTTTGCCCACGAAAGCTTATGCTCCTACACTTCAGTTAGTCTATAAGGTGCCACAGGACACAGCTGCTAGAAGTGGGCCTCATCCTCATTGATTGGATCCACCTTGTCATCTCCAGCCTGATCCTGGCCTGCATATTTATACCTGCCCCTGGAAATTTCCACTGCATGCATCTGACGAAGTGGGTCTTTGCCCACGAAAGCTTATGTTCCTACACTTCAGTTAGTCTATAAGGTGCCACAAGACTCCTCGTCGCTTTTGAGTTAAAAAAGATAATTGTCAAAGGAAGCCAGTAGCAGAGCCAGCACCCCAACAAAGTCTTGTGTCTTAACCAGGAGACGATCTTTCCTTCTGCTTGTCTATAATGTGGTAACCCAAATTCTATAGCACCTTTAATTTAGAGATCAGAACACAGGAAAAGTAGCTCTTGTGGAACCCAGCCAGCATCTCATGTTTTCAATTTAGAACAATATACAGAAACAACAGGAGCTGCCAAAATAAACTGTTCTCCTGTCCTCACAAAGACCAATAATAATACTCCGATGAAATTCATCTGTTACTGCACAGCCTGACCTACATTTTCCATTCTAACATACTTATAGCTAGATTACCAGCTGTTTCTCCTCAGTTATCCATAATCAACTAGGAAGCTCATACCAGTCATCCACAAGAATGATCTCTCCATCAGATAAGACTTTCTTGGAGGCAAAAAGTAGCAGCTGTAGTGGGCTCACCAAGGTCATTCCTTTGGCAGAGATCGCTCGTGTTCGAATCTGCAGATAGAAGAGCAACATGGTTTCCCATTTCAAGAACTAGAAGAGGCTGCTCTTCTTTCAGTGGCCATGGAAACTAGCAGAAATTTTTACCAACAAGGTAACCTCTGGGAGACTGTGTCTTAAGGATTTATAATATATAGAGAGCTCATCAGATCAGGACAGATCCTCTGAATCCAGCTTTGGCTGGTTAAAACAAATTGATTACCATTTAAAAACTGTTCATTTGTCTACATGAAATGAACTGTATGGTCTCAATGCAGTTCACTTTGACAAACCCTAGGGTGGTTTCTGTAAACTTAGCACAATACCCCAGCATAGGACAGAAGTCTCCTCTCACCCTAAGAACAGTCCATACGACAAGACTTTGGTAGGGCACTACAGGGGAAGGTTGTAATCTGTACTTTCACTCAGTCATGGACCTATGGTGATCACACAACTGTCCCACCTAAAATCCTAGGCTTTCATTTGCATACACAAAGACCTGAATTTTCCTACTTGCAGAGAGTACCTTCAAAATGTCAACCGAACATAATCAATTCAGTGACATCTACCCAACTTTGCAGAGAGACAGTGGCTCTGACTATGTGAACTGCCCCATTCATTTCAATGGTGTGTTAGCAAGCCCAATTATCGTTAGAGATCACTGCTAAGTATATCACTGTCTATTTGTCACTGCTGGCTCTTGTGGCAGATATGATGTGGAGTGCAATGAGACAGCCTGATGTTATCCAGGATTGCTAGAGTGAGGGCAACAAGGAATTCATGCCTGCAGCACTCCAAATCTATAAATCTCTCTCCCTCCCCTTTTCATATAGGAACAAAGAAGAGATGGAATCTGTTTCCCAGCACCAAAAAGCTCAAATGCATTCAGGACAACAAAACCCAAGCTACTTCCCTCACTTCCTGGGTGCCACAAGTCAGAGCTGTCCCCTGTTCAGTTCCTTAAATCGCTATCACGCCCCTTGACTTACTTGTCAATACAAAAATATGCAGCATGCTGAACACTTCAACAGTTGGGGACTGCGCACAATTAACATAAATGAGCATGGAATTCTGAACCAAATGACCCCTGGGAGGTAAGAGAGAGGATAGCTCTATTCCACTGTTTTCTGCCATACGAGCGCTCCATGGAATACAGGATCCCAGGGCTGTCAATCCACTATATTCACTAGCATTACAATTTTCATTAAAGAAATAAAACAGTGCCTGAGAGACTCCTTTTGAAATTTAAGCATTTAAAATGGGGATAACATTTGGTAACCTTCTCAAAGAAGTCTTGCATAGTTTTCTTTACCTTTTCACCAAAAACAAAGAAAGGAGAGGGATACTTCATGTCCTGGCTGCTGAAAGGGCAGTTGACAGATGATTTGTGGATAAGTGCATTGCGCCCCTCAGTGGTAAGAATTTTCCTCTTCTCCTTGTGGTAGCAGACATTAGGATACACACCAAAAGCAAGCAGGGAGATCACAACATCTAGATTGTTATCTGGTCCAGTGTTGTTAAATATCTGAGTCATCAAACACTCTGTTGACAGAACAGAAAACAGACTACTTTCCAGATCTTGCATAGTACAGCACAATTAAGTTATTCAGGATTTTTGATCCGATTCAACTCTTCATTTAGGCATTGGTTCTCAAGACATCTCTGCACTCAGAAAAAGGCATTTTAAAGTGCTATCACATCAATACAGTAATTCCTCATTTAACGCTTGCCTGCTTAACACGTTTTCGCAATAGCACAATTTTTTTTTTTTAGGGAACGTTTTTTGAATTACATGACCGTCCCCAGAATAACAGGATTTCCCCAGCTGGCCCGTTGCCGGCGGTTGCACGGGGCTTCCCTCGCCTTCCTGCAAAGCGGCAGAGGTTCGCTGCTTGCTGCGCCGTTCCCCAGCGACCCCCTCCTCGCCGGACGCAGCGTGGGTCCTAGCAGGCCCGTCACAGGGGCAAACTCCCAACTCAATCTCCCTCCTCTCTCCTCCCCTTCCCTTCCCCAGAGCCAAACACCTCCCCTTCCTGCTGTCCCCTTTCTCCCCCAACCTTATGTCCCAGTCTCAAGGGACACCACCACTTGAAACACAACCTCCACTTTTTCCATTATTTTCAATGGGAAAATTGACCCCACATAACACGTTTTCACTTAACACAATCATTTTCTGAAACATATCTATAGTGTTAAATGAGGAATTACTGTACTAAAGAACCGTAGTTGTAATGAGTAAACCGAACACATATTTTCTATTATTCAATGAGAAAAGAACTGAAAAATAAAACTACACATTGGATAAGCCAGGCCCCCACCCACACTCACAAGAGCCAGGACATATAGGCTTGTCCAGAAGTATCACGTCTTTTTTTCTTCATTTGTTTTAGAGACACAGGACCCCCCAAGGAGGTCAAGCTGGATGTAATAATAGTGTCATTGCTTGTCACAAGCCTGGAATCCCAGGTTGATGGTTGTTGGGTCATCTAGCCCAGAAAGAGAGTTACTGTAGCATTTATACCAGAAAGCAGGGGGAGAAAGTCTATTGCATACTAAGAAAATGAAAGGGAGAGCAACACACTTTGGATCCCCATCAACTTTTGACATGGAACAAATATTCAAGAAAGTAACAAATCCAGAACCTGACCCATCTTTAAGAAATGCTACAAAGCCTTCCTCTTCACAAAGGGCTTTCCTATTACCACAAGAATGGACACGCGCTACACTGACTCCTAACCCAAAGACCGCGTCCTAAGCACATGCCTCAAAGTCAATCTTACAAGAACAAAATAAATGTACAAATTGAAAAGAGGTGAGAGGCAAGGACCTCCCCCATGAAGGCCAGTAGGGACCTAGCTACTGCTATTAATTTTATGCAAAGGGCATTCACACCTACTAGACTTCAATTTGATAATGTCTCTATAACCGTGGTGTCCAACACGCTAGCCACATGTGGTTATTTGGCCAGCTGACTGTTGCTAGTTTGCTTCAGAACTAGTTGGACACCACGGCTCTTTAAATTCAAGATAATCTGGATACTTATAAGAATCATCCTTAAATTTGGTCTTCTCTCTAAATAGAAACTCCATTTGAAAGTAAATTAATTCTTGTGCTTGCATATGGTGACTGGATGAGAGATCGTGTTATGTATTGTAATACTATCACTGGTTAATGGAAATGGAAACGGAAACTCAAATACAAAGTTAAATTTAACTCTAAGCTAACAAGCTACGTAGTGAAGATCTGAGAACAAGTCCAGAAAATTATACAGCTGGAAAGGCAATGTTCGGCACCTGCAGGGAGGGAACGCCCTGAGGGATTGCCTTGGAATAATTGCAAGCTGTGTTGAGCAATTTCTAGCTCTTCTCATCCAGAAAGAATATCACTGCAATACGGAGCATACATGCAGGAGGTAAGAGACATAGGAGAAATATGAGAAGCTAACCCATGGAGGTGGATTTGAAAAGACAATTACCACTTAAAAGGTCAAATTCCTCATATTACTGGAGGGTGGGGTATTTACCATCATTGCTGTGTTAAGTTCGCAAGCTACTATAGGGCTTGTCTACACTGTGCATTAGTCCACACTACAGGGGTGTAAGTTCTCCTGTGCACCATGGTGTTGCACACTGATTCACACACCAGGACCCTGCTGGCACACACTATGTTTCCTAGTGCTCATTAGTGTAGTGCCAGTGTGTGCAATAATGCATACGTTAGACAAGTCCTTAGATTGGGGTGGGCAATACTTTTTGAAGGGTGGGGCCACTTTGGAAATTTCTGAAGTGGTCACAGGCTGCCCTGGAAGGGGTGGAGCAAGGAGACTTCACCACCTGCGGCCCTGATTGGCCTGGGGGGGAAGTACATGAAGTCTTAGTCTCCCATCCCCGTCCTGCCAGAGGCGTTTTCCTCTGATGCCATGTGCCCCTGGGGGAGTGGGGGGGGAGAAAGAGGAGGGGAGGGGAGAGAAGAGGACTTCACACACTCCCTCGGTCCCAGGTCTTGATTGGCCCGTTGGCAGGGTAGCAGCAGGGTGGCCATGGGCCCTTTCAACTGCTGCTGTTTAAAGGGCTTGCACTTTCTGGACAGCTGCCAGGCAACATGGTAGCAGCTGCCCAGAAGGAGCAAACCCTTTAAACAGCAGCAACTGAAAGGGCTTATGCCTCCCCAGTGGCTCCCAGGCACTGCATTAGCAGTGGAGCTGGGAGCTGTCACAGACCAGATCAAAGTGCTTGACGGGCTGAGAGTAAACAGCACAACAATGCTGGGGCAAATTCACTATGGACACGAGATAGCATTCACCTTTACTGAACTATTAGCCACCCCTATCCCTCCCTCAACTCTCAAAGACTGAAGACGACAACACTGGAAAGCCTACTTCCATGGAGTATTACCTTCTGGAAAGCCAGAATTGATAAGAATGTCTTTAAGCTGAACTTTGGCTTCCCAAGTCATCCTGAGTGTAGCCATGTTGAGCCTTTTGTGTTCACAGAATCGTATTTCTGCATCTTCACCGCCCATTCTAAAAAGGAAACAGTCAAGCATGACTCAAAAAGATCAGTACAAGAGAAGACAAGTGCCACAAATAGAAGCTCTAACACAGCCATCTGGTTGTCTAGTCAGGTCACGTAATTAGTTGCTCACCCTATATTCTCCATCAAGTTCTATGCTCAGCCAACATACCTTGCATCATCCCAGGCCTGGAAGACTGAAAGCAAAGCTACATGATCTGAAAACCTGTTCCCAGCAAAATTCCTATGGACGTAACCCAGCCTTTTACCCTCGCTGATGAAAGGCTCTGGGAAGCAGGTGGCAGCAGAGATGGTGCACACAGCATCTCCTACACTGAAACAGAAAACATGGAAATATTTGACTGGGTTTGTTCTTAGTCTTGTTGTCTACAGCTGTTACAGGCCTGTTAACATGACTAAAAACTTCCTTTGTCTAAGGACACAGACTTCATCAGCTCAGGCCACATTCTCAGAGAGCATCCTTTAGAGCAGCGCTTCCCAGTGTAAGGACATTAATTAGATCAAATAGCAGTAACTGAAATTTCATAGCACAGCTATGAATATTGTGCCTCTTCCTCATTCACTCATATAACCCTGTTTATCATCTTCTTCTAGATAATGATGAAAACCAGCACCCTCATACCTCTGTTGATGAATATTTCAGTCCCATAGTTCTTTTCACTTCTGTCTCTAACACAACCTGTCCTCGTCTCCCCATCTGCAGTTCATGCTGACCCCCACTTCATAAATATTCAGTCTCTAACTGGTGCCATTCAGTTTCTCCCTAGCTCATGAATATTTGGCTCCCCACTCCCAGTGATGCTATTTGTCTCCTAATCTCATGAATATTCAGTTCTCTTTCCTCTCTCCACCCGCCCCACCCAACAGGGCCATTGACAGCCTATATGCATGTATCCTGTTTTACCCTGTTGAGTGGATGCATGAAGATTCAGGAACAGAGAGCAAGACAGCACTGGAAAAAGTTCAGAAAAGGGTTACAAAAACTATTAAGGTTATGAAACAGCTGCTATATGAGGAGCGATTAAAAAATTGGACTTTAAGGGGAGGAAATGATAGAGGGCTATAAAATCATGGCTGGTGTGGAAAAAGTCAACAAGGAAAAGTTACAAAGAGTCCTGTGGCATCTTGTAGACTAACAGATGTATTGGAGCATAAGCTTTCCTGGGCAAAGACCCACTTCATCAGATGCATGTAGTGGAAATTTCCAGAGGCAGGTATAAATATGCAGTCTAGAGATAAGGATTAATTCAGTCAGGGAGGGTGAGGCCCACTTCTAGCAGCTGATGTGGAGGTGTGAACACCAAGAGAGAAGAAACTGCTTTTGTACTCAGTTAGCCATTCACGGTCTTTGTTTAATCCTAAACTGATGGTGTCAAAATTTGCAGATGAACTGTAGCTTAGCAGTTTCTCTTTGAAGTCTGGTCTTGAAGTTTTTTTGCTGCAGGATGGCTACCTTTAAATCTGATACTGTGTGTCCAGGGAGACTGAAGTGTTCCCCTACAGGTTTTTGTATATTGCCATTCCTAATATCTGATTTGTGTCCGTTTATTCTTTTATTCTTCTAAGGAAAAGTTATTTGCTTGCTCCCATAACACAAAAATAAGGGGTCACCAAATGAAAAAAAGGCATCAGGTTTAAAACAAAGGAAGTATTTCTTCACACAATGCCCAGTTAACTGACACAGGATGCTGTGAAGGCCAGGACTTTAACATCGTTAAAAAAAAAGAACTAGATAAATTCATGAAGGAAAGGTCCATCAACGGCTAATTAGCCATTATGGGAAGGAATGGTGTCCCTAGCCTCTGTTTGTCAGAGGCTGGGAACGGGTGATAGGGAAGGGATCACTTGATTACCTGTGCTGTTCCCTACTTCTGGGGCACCTGGCATTGGCCACTACTGAAAGACAGGATTCTGGGCTAGATGGACCTTTGGTCTGATTCAGGATGGCGGTTCTTATGTTCTTAAAGAAAGAAATGATACTGAGGAACTTACTAGAAAATGCAGCCCATTATCATCATCTTGCCGAGACGAGGTTCAATGGGAAGCTTAGCAAGGATTCTCCCAAGGGGAGTCAACTCATCATTAGAATCCAGGGCATCCAGCTCTGAAACAAATGATTAACCTGTCAACAAAGATGGTGCTGGCAGCTGCCTAGTCAAACCAAGGATTTAATTAAGACCATGTGTATGAGATTGAGAAGTTTAAGAACTTAATGTTAGTCCAAGTGTTCTGAAGGAACTCAAATATTAAATTGCAGAACTATAAACTGTGATACCTAACCTTTGCTTAAATCAGCCTCTATAACCAGACAGCTGGAGAGCAGCTAAAATAACAATAATTTACAAAAAAGGCTCCAGAGGTGATCTGGCAATTACAATACCAAGCACATCAGTTGAACTTATAGTAAAGGACAGAACTATCAGATACAAACAAATATGCTGGGAAGTGTCAATTCAATTGTTGAGGTAGTTATGCCGCAACAATAATTCCTTGATCATATCAACAAGCATGAAAACAAGGGAGACTCAGTCAAAATAGCCTCAACATGCAGTGGTAGTCAAAAAATGTTGAGAACTTAGATTAATGAAATAGAAATTTTCCTAACACCACCTCATAAATTCATGGTACATCCACACACAATGAGCAGTTCTGATTGCTACGCTTCGAAGGATATTACAATTGGAAAGTATACAAGAAGGACAACAAAAATGTTTATGGGTATGGAACAGCTGTTCTGTAGCTTGGTGCCAGACTACAAACCACTGGCTGCCAGGCCACGGCAGCTCTGGGGGCTGGAACTGGGGTACACTGCCCAGCACCTCTCCTCCCACTGCGGTTGTTGGGAGAGACGAGTCCTGCCCCGCCTTTCAGCCAACCAGTGCCAGCCAGAGAGTGGTTCCCAGTGCAGAGCCCGGCACGGCAGCCTTAGAGCAGCTGTGACCCGGGCAGCAGTGCTTAGCTGGTGGCTGGGGCACAACACAGGGGTAGGTGCGGGGACTGAGGCAGGCACTGGGAGCTCCAGGGGCAGGGCTAATGCTGGGGGGCTCCAAGAAGTGGGGGCTCTGGGAAAGTTGGGTACAGTGGGGCTCTGGAAACAGGAGATTGGCACTGGTGGCATGGGCTTTAAGAGGCGGGGGCTGGCACCGGGGGGCTCTGAGGGCGGGAGGTGGAGTTGGGTGTAGGGATGTGAACGACTAGTTGACTAGTCACTCCACCCTTGCTCAAAGGGGCAGCAAGGGGAGGGGGAAAGGAGAGAAGAAGGGATGAGAACAGGATGCTTCAAAGCAGCAGCGCTGTGTGGAGCCCAGGACCAGACCTGGGCTCCACGTGGCACTGCCTCTTTGAAGCTCTGGGGGGAGCACAGGGCCAGCAGGGGCTGCTTGAGTCCCCCACTGGCCTTGTGCTCCCTGCACGCTTTCGCCAGGGCTGTTGCTACACTTCAAAGGTGAAAGCGCCCTTAAACTAATCGAACAGTTGTGATGCAAATTGCATCGATTACTCGATAGCCAATTAATCTAAATTTAACATCTCTAATTGGGTGCAGTGGACTCTGGGGTCAGAGGCTGGCACCGGGGGGTAGTGGACGGCTCTAGGGGTCAGGGCTGGCACTGGGGGTCTCTAGGTACAGGGTGTACCCCAGTCATGGCTCCCAGAGCTGATGCAAACAGCTGGTGACGGCCATGTGGCAAATGCCAAAGCTGAAGACGGCTGTTCGCAGCCACTCTGGGGTCTGGGGCTTTTGGCGGACTGGTAACATTTTATTTGAATATTCATTGTTAAACAGGCAATGGGTATAATGCTGACAAAAGATTTTTTTTTTTTTTTAAACACAACACAGTCAGCCTGTAGAGCTCACTGCCAGCAGCTAATGTGAAGGCCAAAAGTACAACTGGATTAAAAAAAGAATCAGATCAGACCATGATGGATAGGTCCTTTCATGGCTACTAGCTAAATTGGTGAATTATAAAAGATCAGAGTGGAAATAGGCAGGCAACCATACATATACTTGAACTTACAAAGCACTGAATGAATGTCTAACGCTTTGCAAACTTTACCTAACAAATCATTTAATATACTTTAACTTGCAGCCTAAAGAAAAGCGCAATAAAATTTCTAGAGATGAAGACTGGGCCTTGGACAGAGAATCTAGTTTTCCTGTCAGATCTGTTGGGCATCTATCTGTCCCTCAACTGCCCCATTTGTAGAGTGATTAAATAATTTGCTTGCTGGGATATTGTGAGGCTCAAGCTATTAAAGTCTGTAAAGTGTTTTGAGATCCTGGAACAAAGTATAACAATGCAAAATAATTTTAAGAGAATCTATCTGCCTAGATCAGACTTGTTTAGAACAAATACCCCAGATGCTTTAATGCAGTAGAATCACATCTCATACGAGTCTCACAGCTGAAGCTACAGTAGTAGACAGTTTCATAAGGGACTTGTAAAATATAGGAAAACAAGCCTGAAGTTAGGCAGAGAAAAACACTTCTTCAGTTGTAGAAATTTCCTGCTAACATGAAAATGCATTTCAGAGTCACGAAGGAGTCTCCAGACATCAGGTCCTTCCAGCCAAAGAAAAACTAAAAATACAGCCGGCCCCCGACTTTACGAATGGGTTACATACCAAACACCTGGTCGTAACTCGATTTGTTCGTAAGTCGGAAATACACGCTTTTAAATACAGTCGTGCTGTTCGTAAGTGCGGATAGTGCATTCGTAAGTCGGGGACCGGCTGTAATGGGGTTAATGGGAGGTTGGTCGTAAGTGCGAACGGTCATAAGTCAACATGTTCGTAACTCAGGCACAAACTGTATAAACTCTAGCATTATAAATGTCATTGCTATTTACAATGGACCTTGATACCCTGAATCATTCAAACCTACATGTTGACGTTTCCTCTTAGCTGCACCACTGCCCAGCAGGCTGTCAAGTGCTGATTATTTCAGGTGCATCTCTCCCACAGCTACACTACTCACACCCTCTACCTTGGAGCTCTGGTTGCAGCCAGGACTCTCCTGCTTGCTATACAGAGTAGGGAGGAGGGGAGCACTGATGTCAGAGTGTCTCCTTCCTCCCACCCTGTATGACATTTCTGCAAAGTGGGGGAGGGGAAAAAATGGGACATGACAGGGCTCAGGAGCGGGACAGAGGAAGACTGCTGGCAGCTAAGTTGAACAAGCAGGCTTCATACTGCTGACTGCTGATCTAGTTAAAGGACCTTGATCTGTAATATATGGACAGTGTCCGTCACAAACACCTCCTAACACATACTTGTATTTCTGTTGTTGTTACTTCCAATACTTCCCTCAAAGTGTTTATTTTTATCACTGGTCTATACATTTCATAATTTTTATTTCTCCTGCTTTTAACATTATTTCTTAGTAACCTGTCCTGGCTAGAGTAATTATTCCTATGGTAACTTGTAAAATATTAAGGTAGTTTTTTTGTTTGGTGCACATCTGCACACTGTCTCAATGTGGTGCACATAACAAAATTCATTCCACACATTAAATTAAAATGAAAGAGAACACTGGAGATCTGTGGGTTTGCTAACAAGGAATCTTGTGGCACAAAAGAGGTACCTCTGAGCGTGTGTTCTGCTTCAATCACTGCATCCAAAGGTGGTGGTTCTATTGCTTTGGCCAAGAACTGTCCAATCCCTCCCAGGCGCAGAAGTTTGATGCTCAGAGCAATTTCATGCAGTGGCGTTCGGAACATTTCAGGTGTCATGTGAGTTTCAAGCCTGAAAACAGAGAAGGGAGTACAAAAAGAGTCAACCTTATGGACGGACGGACACACGATCCCCAGTACAGGTGCAACCTACGTGAGTTCATTCACTAAGTCACCCCCTGAATCCACCCTCATCATCTTCCTGCAACTTATCTTCAGTAACTCCATTTCCCTTCCAGCTGGAATCTTCTTTCGTCTCCTTGCCCCTCCATAAGGGAACGCAAATGCTAGAACAGATCTTCTATTCCTCTGGCAGGTCAATTGTTATGAGGTTGCCTCATATTACTACTACCCTCGTGTCAGCTTCCATGCCAGATACTTTATCACCTTAATTCCCAATACCATGTGCTGGTTCCTGGTTCAACTGGGCTAGCAACGAAGAATGCTTTTACTGGAAACAGGCCAACTATTTATTTCTAGCGGCATGGAGGTATGGTAGGGGTGGAGCTCATGGGCCGCTACTCCCTGACATAGTGCCCTCAGCCTCTTTGCCTTAAGGATTCCAGTTAAAATATGCAATCATTTCTAGGCGTTAACACTTGAACAGTTAGTATCCAATGTGATGTTTGGGATACACAGATCTATCCACTTCTACTTCTTATACTGGCTTCCACTATTTAAACTTTCCTTCTCCTTCTAGGATGCCCAAAGCTAGGCATTCCTAGAGTCCAAGACAATTGTGAACACCTAGTCTTATGTCCTACACAGCACAGGCCAGAAAAATTTCTAAAAATAGTTCCGTGTGCATATCATTTGGAAGCATATTCTATCTTGATTTTAAACTGCCAGTGAGGGAGGACCCACACGTTTGGCAAACTGTTCCAAGAGTTAATTCCTTTCACTGGTATTTCTTCTAGAGATTCCCGTTCAGGCCAGCAGTGCATTCGCTTTTTCAGCCACAGCTTTGCACTGGAAGCTCATGTTCACCTCATTACCCCAGGAAACAGTGGCTAGAAAAGATTTGGAGGTCATGGGGCCATTCTCTAAGTCTGTCCTTCATTCTTTGTTCTCAGATGTATACATTTAGCTTATTAAAATGCATTTCGTTTGCCTGCACAGCATTTACCATGCAATTCAGTTCACTCTATAATCAGTGGCCTGTTCTCTTCATTATTCCCTCAATCTGGGTCATCCACAAACATTATCAGTTATGTTTTCTTTCACATTATTGACAAAAATGTTTTAAAATAGCATTGGGTCAAGAACCAATCCCTGTGGGATCCCACTAGAAATACAGGTTTACAATGTTTTCTGTTTAAGCAAAGGAATTCCTGTTCTGTGAGAAGCTGAACCTAAATTCTCATGCAAGACCACAATTTCTTCAAGAGCATGCAACTAGTTTGCTCTCAGAAGTTGCTAACGAATTAAGACGATCACATTATGTTGTAATATGTATCTAAATATTTAATGCTACAAAGATGTAAGGAATGTTTTTATTACATGCTGCTTCAAAAACTGAAATTTGCTAACACTGAACACTGTAAACATACCACTATCTTGCAGCTGTTTCCCAGGGGAATGGGTGTACTGGGATGTTTTGGAGGGTAGTGGGTGGAAGACAGCCGAGTCTGACAGCTGCGTAAGCCCCTGCAGCTGGCAGTGAGCATTTCATGGCTTTTGTCTTTGGGGGAAGGTTTGGCAGATAGGAATGAGAAAGAATCAGTTTCAGTAGCTTGGGAATATTGAGCAGCTGGAAGTGGGAGAAAACCAATTTGGCAGCAAGAGGAGATGTTGGCAGCTTCTGGCCAGAGTATTGGAAAAAAGAAGGAACATCTGTCTACCTGCATCCCCTTCTCCTAGGTCTTTCCCCCGATCTGGTTCTCGCCATCTTCCATACCTGCTGTCCTCCATACCAGCACCTCTCCACACAAGCGTGCACTTTGTCTGGTAGGATCCAGGTGTCTTTTGTGGCAACTCATTTTAGAACCCTTCCCCCCGCTTCACTCTGGGGCCTTAATGGAATCTCACTGGGTGAAGCATAGGGCTCTTTCCAAGTCTTTCTAACAGACTGCCGGGCCATACTTTGTCCAGTCAGGTGGGGATTGATCTCAAAGTCACACCTTAAACAATTTCCCTGCTCTCTACAACAATTTTTGAAGGGGACCCACAAATTTTAGAGTAGGAACTAAAGTGTGTCTGAGGAAATGCAACAGCTTATAGCAATCTTATCCCCAAGATTTTGGGTTAATCCGGTTCCGCTGCTTGGTTTTAAGCAGCTCACAACTGCATACTCTGTAATGTACGGAGTGCTTCCAAATGCCCCATTGTCCCAGAAGTCACAGCCTTACCTCTCAAAGCGAGCTCTGCTGCACAGATGGAAACAGAATCCAGCCCGCACTCGGCCAGCACGCCCTTTCCGTTGCTCAAGGTTAGTTTTTGATGCCCAGACTGTGGCATAATTTGTCATGTTGTTGTGAGCAGTAAACAGCTTCACCTTTTGTCTATAAAAGTAGTACAAATTATGAAGATCAAATATTGCAAAGTTGGTTTGCACTATATCATTTAATACAGCAAAACTAGGACAAAAAAATTAACTATCCTAGTCTTTCTGCTTAAAGAATAATGCTCCCATTCAGAACCCATATTTCCTGACCTTCTCCCAAAAATTTAAATCTCTCAGCCCTAACCTCTAACACAATTAGTGATTCATGCTACAATGTACTCAAAGTATATACAGCAAGTCAGTAACAGACTAATACAGGAAGACTTAATAATCCTCCAGCAGCCATACAATAAGACTTTGTAGTACGAAATCATCCATTTGGAAGATAGTATACAGGAATTCCCCAGACATCCACATAAACAAACACCAGCATGGTATTCAATTGAGCACAGAACCATTGCAGATGAGAGGTCTCCAAAATCACAGTCTTGGGGCTACAGCAACATAAGTACTACACGTGCACAAAAAACGTGTTATCTAAAACAGAGATCTGGATTGGGAACTCACTTGCAAGAGTCTATAACATAAACAACATCATTGATGGTAATGCTAGTCTCAGCAATATTGGTAGATAAAATCACCTACGAAAACAGGAAAATTGTATTAGGATACATGCGTTGTACAAAGGAGCTAAAGACATTCTGTAAGGCAGTGATTCTAAAACTTTTTGGCCCATGCTCACTCTGCTTAACACAAATCTTTCTGCAAACTACCCATAATGACAAAATGGATGCAGGAGTGGGCTGGGGGTCTGGCCAGGATTCCAGCCAATGAGAACAGTTAGGAAAGCCTCCAGGAGTCATTTCCTGCACCGATATTTCCCCAACCGGGGGGCAGGGAAATGTGCAAAGCCGTTTCCTTCACCCATGAGTTACATCTACCCTGCAAGGCACAAGGCTCTCCTTCCCAGCCCCTGCAGCAGGAAGACAACCTAGCAAAGGGCAAACAGGTGTGTGGGGCTGGAGCACCAGTGAGAACTCCCTGCTGTGGGGGAAGAGTCTCAAGCCCGCAGCCCACTTGTAATGTGGTCGGACCACACTCTGAGAACCACTGCTGTAAGGTAATGCAGAATGCCAACATTAAAAAAAAAAAAAAAAAAACAAAGTTAAGCTCTACTATATTACATTCTTCCCATGCTCATGGTAAAGTTTCACACCTTGGTCACTCCAGAAGGCACTGGATCAAACACTCTGCGCTGTTCATCTCGAGGAATTTGTGAATGCAGGGGCAGAATTCTATACTGATGGCTTCCTACAGTATGAACACAGGGAGGTTAAAGAACTATAACGATATGTACTAGACATGAAAATTCAATTCCCTTTTATCCACCCACTGCTTCATACCTAAGCATCTTCCTTTCACTTCCACCCATCCATGTACACTAACCTAGCTCCCAACTTGCAGAGACATACAATTCATTCAATCAACTCATCTTCACTTTCATCCAGTAACTGTTCTGACGGAAGCACAGGGACGAGGAAATAACTGAAAGCTATATGTACCAAAGTGTGGATTCATTTCCAGATGCTTTTGCATGGTATAGATCAGATTCCAGCCAGGCAAAAAGACAAGAACAGCTCCTGGAACATTCAGGGTCTCGATGTACTTTAGCAAAGCCTCAATGAGTTCAAAGGGAGTTTCCTTCTCATTCAACTGGGCCATACAACGTTTTGTTTCTGGACCATATTCATCACTACATATAAGATTACAGTTGGCCTGCAGATGTAGAGAACAAAATTAAATACCTATAATCACATGACACTTGAAGATGTGAGGATGAGGACCATTCAAACCAGTTAGATTAACTGGATCAGAAACACCATTCTAGGCACAGTCCTATTTCACAGGAAACCACAGGACAAGTTGGCTTGGCCTTCTCCCCCAGCTCTTTTCTAAACATTCTATTTTCAGAATTATAAACACGCTTGAATTCGCACTTCAATTTTTTAAAAACACCAGTGATGTGTTTAGACTGGATCTTTACAAGGGAACAAAATATATCAATTACAGGAGCATTCTTAAAATTCAGTTAAATATAATCAACCACTATCCTATATTTCAAAAGTTACTAGGTTTTGAAAGCATCTTAGTGCAACAAAATGCCTCTATTCATCTAAAGAATAGATACAGTATGGCAGCAGCACTGAAAGTGAATTATATAGGAATTAATTTTATTCTGTTGGTCTGTAATCTAACTGCTACCTCTATGCCACAATTACTTACTCCTGCTTACCCATTAGTCTCTGTATAATAATATAGGAACAATACCTTTTTGAAACACAGCAAATGTTTAACCCTCTTTAAGAGAATCAGTAAAAAGTTACACTACACAGTACTATAATTTTACCTGGTTAAATTGTGCTCTGTCCCTAACAGGTTAAATGCCTCATTGATGTCCAAGAAAGAAAGGAATACAGCAAGGCATGCATTACATTGGTGTGCTGGTTCCAATCAGCACTTGTTTAATTTACAGATCTAAGCAGGCACAACTTACATCATCATCTTCACCACCTTCATCATCTTTGTCTTTCTTCTTCTTATCCTTTAATGGAGGAACAAACTGAGTCATCTGAATACAGTCTTCCAGAAAATACTCTGCAGGAACAGACCCCGTCAAGTTAGTATAAAGGATGCCCATCAACCAGTTACATAAGCCTCACTAAAGGGTTATATTCTACTGTAGCTCTACACAAGCCCTTCCTAAGCACAGCCATGACATTTTGAAAGAGCAAACGGAGGCCTCAGTGTCTGAAGCTAGTCCTGGGGAAAATGCCTCTATTTATCCAAAGAACAGATACAGTGTGGGCAGTAGCACTGCAAGTTGCCTCCCCACTATCCCACCATTGTTCCTCACCCATGACCTGTCAACCTCCCCATTCAGGTTCGTCCTATATATTTTCTACATCAACTTTTACACTGGTTCATGGAGGCTGGTTAATTCAAGACAATAGGTGTACATGTTATGTAGGAACAACTCATTTTTAAAATCATTGTAGCTATTTAACCTTTTAAGAGAAACAGTGAAAAGTTGCATTCTATAGTAGTTAATGTTCTCAGATTTTTATCAGCATAGAGACCAGATCTCAGGATATGCTGTAATTCATGTGAATTGTGTAAACTTTCCCTCCCTCTACTATGTGCAAGATTGAAAAGAGAATGAATAAAAGCAATTACTCAAAATATATGCTCAACTAGTGTTTTACCTTGGACTGGATAGGTTCTACCATAGACCTCAATGATGGGACAATTGAAGAAGTATTCACAGAACATGCTGGTATCAATAGTGGCAGACATAAGGATAACTCTGATTTCAGGATATGCTTCAACTACATCTCTTAGCACTACCATGAGGAAGTCAGTCTGTAGAGAGAAAACGGGAATGTTAACTAACTAAGACAGAATGTTTTATGAAGAAGTCACAATGCCCAAGGCTCCAGAAAGGGTTACTGGAGAAATGAAAAAAGTCTAATGGTAGAAGAGCAACTATATAATATCCTATTCACATTACTAACACTTACGTTGCCGTCTTCTAAGAATATGTCAAACTAAACTAACTCCTGAAAAACAGCTACTATATTGGAGAATTAAACTCCATACTCTCCATTTTGTCCTACCAGACTAGTACTTAAGTCTTCTGGAGTTTCTCCTTAAAGTGGTTTTGATTTCCACATGAACAAACTCAGAACAGTTCTTTAAAAAGACAACTAAAAATACAACTGAACAATTGCTGTAGTTCTATACATTAGGATGCTCTACAATCACGAATAGGAAGAGAAGTAATTGAGGAGTCACTATTAAGTTGTGATCCATACTATGAAAACATGTACTATTTAAATCTGGCTTATCTGTTTAGCTTACCTCGCATTTAGACAATTTCAAAATTAAAAAAGATCAATTTTATACAAAAATTCAAATATTCAATAAAACACACGCCACTAATAGCACCTTTTCTAGAAGAGGTGCATCTCATCCATGATCTGGATGGCAGAAACACATGCATTCCCTTGAAAAGGATTCATAGTACAAATGAGGAACCAAACTTTGACAAATTTTTATCATATGGCAAGACTCAACTCTCTGGCATGGCAAGCTGAAAGACACCATTCATGACTGCTTTTGACAATTCTTGATTTTGTCCTAAGTGATATATGGGTTCTGATCCAAGAGTGAATTAGTTGAATAGCAACCATAATGCAATTAAAGTTAGCATCCTAGTGCTAAGGTGGAGGTGGAGGAGAGGTGGCGCAGGAGAAAAGATTCCAAAGAAATTCACCCTAGGAATATTCAACTTAAAAAAGGGGAATGACAAATCAAGAGGCTAATTATATGGAAATTACAACTAACAGTCAAGATCAAAAAGCCTGCAAGCTCCAGGGACACATCACAAAAGTTCAAACTATACATATACCCCCAATAAAAAAAATACAAATAAACAGAAAACCAACCACACAGAAAGAAGACTTAAACCCCACCATGGCTAGTACGGAGTAATAGAGATAGTTAGAGACAAAAAGACATTTTTTAAAAATTGAAAGTCAAATCCTACTGAGTAAAACAAAGGAACAAAGTCAAATAATTAATTTGCAGACTGAAAAAGTTTTTGTAGAGCAAGTAGCAAAAGACAGGTGGTTTTGGCACAGACTGATAAATCTAACAATAATAGTTACCAGGACCAGATGATTTTCACCTAGGAATTCTAAAGTAATTCAAATATGAAATTACAGAATTACTTACTGTGATAGAGGTATATAAAATCATGAGTGGTGTGGAGATGGCGAATAAAGAAAAGTTATGTATTAGTTCCCATAATAGAAGAACTAGAGGACACCAAAATGAAGTTAATGGGTAGCAGGTTTAAAACGAATAAAAGAAAGTTCTTCTTCACACAGCGTGTAGCAACCTGTGGAACTCCTTGCCAGAGGAGGCTGTGAAGGCTAGGACTATAAGAGAGATGCTAGATAATTTCAGGGAGGTTAGGTCCATAAAAGGCTATTAAGCCAGGGGATAGAAATGGTGTCCCTGGCCTCTGTTTGTCAGAGGCTGGAGAAGGATGGCAAGAGACAAATCGCTTGATCACTGTCTTCGATCCACCCTCTCTGGGGCACCTAGTGCTGGCCACTGTCAGCAGACAAGCTACTGGGCTAGATGGACCTGTGGCCTGACCCAGTATGGCCGTTCTTATGTTCTGTGATATGTAAGCTATTGATTAAATCAGCCTCATAGCTATCATTATGCCAATTTTTAAAAAAGGTTCCCAGGGCAACCCTGGCCATTAAGCCTGACTTCATTCAGCATTAGGCAAACTGGATGAAAACCACAATAAATAACAAGAATTCTTAGACGCACACAACATGGCTTTGGGAAAACAGAAATCATGCCTCACAAATCTATTATAATTGAGGCCATCAACAAGCATGATTCAGGGGATACAACATACTTCAGACTTCCAGAAAGCCTTTCACAAGGTCCCTCAACTTTGCTACAAATTTTCAGTAAGAGTCATGGGATAAAAGGGATGCTCCTCCCATGGATCAGAGTAACTGGTTAAAATATAAGAAACAAGAGACAGGAATATTTAGTCAATTTTCACAGAAGGATACATAATAGGGTCCTTCCAAGGATCTCTACTGAGACCTGTACTATTAAGATATTCATAGGTGAAAAAAAGGGTAAACAATGCAATGACAAAAGTACTCCAGACAGTTAAGTTCCAAGCAGACTGCAAAGAGTTATAAAGAATCTCATAAAAATGGGCGACTGGGCAACAAAACAGCAGATAAAACTGAATGTTGACAAATGCAAAGTAAAGAACATTAGTAAACAATCACAGCTATCTCTGCAAAGTGATGGAGCTCTGATTCGGTGTTAGAGCTCAAGAAAAATTTGGAGTCATCATGGATAGTTTTCTGAAAACATGCAATCAATATTCAGGGGAAGTCAAAAAAAGCTAACGTTAAGAGCCATTAGGAAAGGGATAGATAATGAAACAGAAGATCATGCCACTATGTAAACCCACAGTATACATACACCTTGAATACTGCATAGAGTTCTGGTTGCCCCATGTCAAAAAGTAAGAGGTATCAGAACTGGAATATGTACAGAAAAGGGCAACAAAAAGTAATCAGGGACAACTTTCACATGTGGAAATAGACCAAGGCTATTCATTTTAGAAAGATGACTAAGCGCTAATATGACAGATCTATAAAACCATGACTACTGTGGAAGATGTGAATAGGGAAATGTTATTTACGCTTTCCATAACACAAGAACTAGTGTTAACCCTATGAAATTAATAGGGAGCAGGTTCCAAACAAAAAATTTGTTCACACAACACAGTCAACCTGTGAAAGCCAATTATAATGGTTAAAAAAAGAAACATCTAACTTCCTTAAGGATAGGTCTATCAATGATTAGGTGGCAAGACAGTAAGGGATACAACCCCATATGCTAGGTGTTCCTAACCCTCTGATTGCTAGAAGCTGGGATTGAATGACAGGGGATGGATCACTCGATAAACTGCCCTGTTCACTCCTTCTGAAGCATCTGACACCAGTCACTGACAGAAGATAGGATAACAGATTAGAAGATGGACCATTAGACTGACCCAGTATGATCATTTTTATGCTCTTATGAAAATGAAGGCAAATTCAGGTAGATTTTAAAGAGAGTTTTAAAATTAACTGTCAATAAATTCAGCACAGCATCCCCACTATTAAATATTGATTATTTTACAATGCTTTCAAGTTTTCAAATTGCTGCAGATATCTGCATTGAAGACGATTTCTGTAGTTGTCAAACTGATCACTAAGTACTAATATTTAAGTGGTACATTATTGTAAGCCGGAAAATGGAAGAGGAGGACAAAAAAATTTCAGTCTTGACAATTTTTACTCTTTTCTTCAAAACTAACCCACTTTGTACAAAGAATATTAGCAGCGTTTCTCTATTTGCTAGAGAAAGCCAAAAGATGCAGGAGAGGGTCCTACCCAAACATATAAATAGAAGTAAGATGATGCTGTGAACCCCTGATCTTCTGCTGGAAACATCTGAGAGAGATTTCAACAAATACAGTAACTGAGGACAATTACAGAAGACTTGGATCCACACAATTTAGAAAAAATGCACAATTCCCTTTCACACAAGACAGGAACACATACTCAACAGGCCAATTAAACAGTAAGCAAAAACAAAAGACGCAGCAGTGGTAAAAAACAAGCATGCAATTGAGAACTCCAGCTTAGTAACTCACATTGATGTCTCTCTCATGGATCTCATCCACAATAACGTGACTAATTCCACGGATACCAGCCTCCAGTTTCCTTAGGAGAACACCTTAAAAAAGGAATTCATGTTAACGGGGACAGTAACAGCTGGATGTGAAGATCAATCACAGTAGTTCAAAAGTTCAAAAGTTTATAACAAAGCCTTAGCCATGCTTTTCTGGGGGTCCCCAACAACAGATTACATCAAGAACTGCACAACATTTTGAAACCCTTTCTCTAAATCCAACATTTACATCTGTATGTGATGAAAGGAGGGAGAGTCCAAGTGTTGAGGCTATAGAGACCACCTTCCCCTCAACCACCAATTTCCCAGCTAAAGTTCAGGTAAAAGAAAGAAGTGGCTACTCCCCATTTCACTAGGAGGGAATATTGTGGGCATAGTACCTGATCTGCATTCATTCTCAAACCTCCAATGAGCCTAATGACCAAACTGAACTAGCACATTTTCCTTTCCATAATTGGAGAAAAGTTTGTGATCAGATGAACGGAACTTGCCACTCATTCAAATTCTCCCTTAAAACAAGGACTGTTTTCTCATTGTCATCACTGCCACTAGTGCCAGGACATCTACGCTGTTATTTAGATACTATGTTGGTTGATTAACAGAGCAATACAGACCTACAGTACAGAACATCACACTGGCATGGGGACGGGGAAGCACCGATTCAAATCGTACACTGTATCCACAGCTTTGCCCAGGTTCTTCTCCTCTTTCATATGACACACGCTCTGCCACAGAAACTGCACTGATCCTCCTGGGCTGAGAGGTGAAACATTTTTTTCCACACATTGTAAAGATGAAATCATGCAAACTTTCCAATTGCATTGCACTATGTACATAGAGGCAAGACTGGAGAAGTTAGCTGTACCCTCTTGCCAACTTTGTGTAGGACAGTCAAAGAAAAATCTCAAAGGTAAGCACCCAAAAAAACCCAGGAGAGCTACAGTCCAAACTTTAAAAATACACATTTAAGTACTCATGGAAATGCTTTAACACCACTGGCTTGAGCCATTTATAGTCTGGGTGGGTGATATGAAAGTAGCTCTATACAGCTCTGCCAGTGCACCTCAAAACATTTCTCTCCTAAACAGACCTGTTGCACGATGTGGATTAGTAGAAGTTAGGGTGCAAGTGAATGAATAGCTGCTTCTAATGTTCCCACTGAGGTACTTCAGCCTTTGAATGTAGCAGGGCTCTTGCAACAGTATCACATAGCGCCATCCTTACCATTTCTGGTGCCTTAGGCAGCCTGAGCACCTGCAACTCTCATCCCCCCCCAGGGAGCAGAACAGCAACTCTACAAGGGGGAGGGCGGTGAACTGTACTCAGGGCAGTGGGGGCAGGAACAGGGCAGGGAGGCTGGTGGGGGAACAGGGGGAAGGGAAAGTGGTGCAGTCTGCCAGAGCTGCAGGTCATGAGGCAGTGCAGGGGGTGGGAGATTGGGGCTGCAAGTGCCAGAAGGTGGAACGTGGCCAGAGGATCAGGGCCACTGAAAGGAGGTGGGTGGTCAGAGCAGAGGGCGGAATGGAGAGGGGCAGGGGATTGAGGTTGCTTGAGACAGCACTATCCACAGCCAGCATGAGGCATATGCAACATAGGGCACTATTTAATTTGGGGCACAATGGTGCCCCTATCAGATCACCACTGATGCCCTATGCAGCTGCATATTCTCTGTATGCCTAAGGATGGCCCTGGTATTACACTGCAAGATACTTACCAAGCTGGGAATGGTGGAGGAAACCAAATCACCAGAAAGGTGCAAACTCAGTGTTTTATTCAAGATTAGCAGTTTTTGAAGGAAGCCAACTGATTTTTTATATGCCCCCATATCCCTTATCTGCTGGATCCCATTACTTCAGATAACCAATAGGTTTGATCTGCCCCAGCCCTCAATTGGATACTCCATTACTAAGTATCAGAAAGGACTGCACTATATATGCAACTGCAGAGTGTTCTGGTACTCTCCACAAAGATTATTTCATCAAGTCTTATCAGATACCCACTGCACCAGAAAAAAATCATTACACAGGCACATGCATAGCGAGTAATGAATTATGTGCCACTGGTATATCAGTTGCGAAAGCAACTGTCTATAATGTAGTTTAGTTTCTCCAGCCTTTGTGAACTATTTTAATTACATTAATATTTAATAGCATGCCTCAATGGGTATTTTATTGTAACCCACCAGGAAACCAAAATAGTTTCAATTTATAATGTGGTCCTTACTTGTGTCACTACAATGTTGCATTCAGCAGCCTTTCCATTTCTAATGAATTCATCCAGGATGTACTGTGGAACCTGGGTGGTTTTGCCACAACCAGTGGCACCACGAATGACGACAACAGGACTGTGATGAATTGCATCAAGAATTTCTTCTTCAAATTTCTTCACAGGTAGTGTCTCCCTGTCTTGTAGGATCTGAAAGAGACCCAGATCTTTCCTGTAATATTCAGCAATCTAACCCATTCTATTCCTTATCTACATCGTGTCTCAAATGTGTGCAAAACTATACTACAGCAACTATTCCTGCAGTAGTAGTGCTCCATCCCTCTGAAAGCACATGCCAGGAATCCTTAGTAAATCTCAAGTCCCAGCACAAGGAATTGTCTGTTGCACACAAAAGAGCAGCAACTCTAGGTCTAGGGTGAAGAAAATTACAGCAAGCATGGCATATGCAAACTCACCAATATGCCAAATCATAGGCAGCAGACTTACCCTCTTTAACTCTTCATCCTGTTCCAGGTGATACATGAAATCATTTTTCAAGTCCATGCTTATCTGCTCTGGAGTGGCCTGTAAAATACACACTGGATTAAGAGACTCATTGCAAAGATATCTATATTTACAACAACTTACTTAAAATGAAAATATACTTATCATTCCATTAATGTGCTTTAAGTGGTACTAATGCAATGTAATCACAATAGCCTTAACTCTGACCTGTATATTTTGACATTCAAATATTGATTGTTAAGTTATACGTGCACACCCCACGTGCACACCCCACCTGACACTTTAGCCTTCGGAATGTAGCAAGAGCCCTGCTACATTCAAAGGCTGAATCTCTGCAGTGGGAACACAGGGCGAGCAGGGACTGCTTGAGTCCCTCCTGGCCCCGAGCTCCCTGCGGTGCATCCCCCCCTTGCTACCTCTATAAGGTGGAGAATAGGAGCCAGTGCTGGAGGAGGGAGTTGGCTTAAAAGCCAGTTTGCCCCAGCACTGTCTCCGGGGTGCTGCCTGCTCCCCCCTGCTGCCTCTATCAAAGGCAGCAGGGGGTGGGGGTATAGGGGAGGCAGCTGCGAAGCAGCCCCTGTCTGCAGGAGTCCCTGTTCATGGTGGCCAGGGCAGTGCCACAAACAGGGTCTGCTGGATATAAAAGCACTATACCAGGGTTTCCCAACCTATGGGTCGGGGCCCAAATATGGGTCGCCATTACATTTCAAAAGGGTCACCAGATGTCTCCCCAGGTGGCTCTTAAGGAGCCATTCACACATTGCCCAGGGTCACCAAGTCTTCCTGAATTGTCAAAATGGGTCCCCATCTGGAAAAGGTTGGGAACCGCTGCACTATACTCTCACTGAATGGAAAAACAGTACATAAAGAAACTGCTGAAGTGATCACTCTGATGGAAGTCCTTCACATGCATCATCCACAGATTAGTTGTTCTTTACAAAAGGGCAGGATGCAGTAAAAACCATACCTGAAGTACCACCTTCAATACCTAATGAGGTTTTTTTTTTTTTTTTAACTAGCAATTTTCAACTTTGCTACGAAGGGATTTATTTATTTTTCTTGCAAAAAGGCAGCAGCTCCCTGCCAAGCAAATCTTGCTTGTGGCATGAAGTATATGTTCAATTTGCAGTATCGTTCAAGCTCTTAATTACAAACATATCTCAGACTTGCATACAATACACTGTTGCTAAGGCCGTGTTTTGAAAAACAATGCAAATTTTCAGCCCAAAGCTGAGGAAGGAAACAGGGGCATAAAGAAAAGAACTGTAGAGTGAGATGGCAAATTAAACATTTTTAGATGAAGTACCAAAAACAGGATCAGAAAAGCAGAACACAGACTCTTGCCATTGGTATCCTATTTTGACCAGATTATGTTGGTGTTTAAGTGAAGTCAGCTGCATCTGCCAAGCCACCATTTCCTTTTCTTTTCTAGACCATCACTGTTCTCTACCTGGCTAGAAGCCATGAAAAAGCAGACTGACTGGTAAGGAAGTGAAACCTATTGGGAGCAGTTTCTCTTTTTAAGAGCAGGATTCCTGGGAATTGGAAAGACAAGCGGAGAATACTTATAAACTGAAATTTAAAGAAACCTATATGCTTTTCTTCATGGTCAACTAACAGGGCATGGAATGGATTGCTGTCAGACCCAAAACCTAGTCCGTCAATCCAAGAAGTCCCATGAATGTACTGGAACTTTCCCCAAAAACCTGGAAAAATGCATTTACAAATTCTAGGAGCATGAAATTAGGAACAGAGCCATTCTAAAACTATCTTAAACTTACATATGCCAGAGGACCCTCATCAATATTGCAGCTGGTCCAAGGGTTCCAATTTGACTGAGGGGGTGACCATGGGACAACTCCCATTTGATTCTGTCTCATGGATGGTTCAAAATGAGCAAGCTTTCCAATGTTGAGCAAAACAGGATTGCTTGGATCTTCAGGCTATAAATTGAGAAAAATATTTTTAAAATGTTTAATTAAACTAATAAGATTAATGAAGAAAAACAGTGTGACAAAGTGTCTGAATCATACACTCACCGTTGGCATAACCTCAAGAGAAAGCTCTTGTATGATGCTATTCAGCTGATTTTCTAAATCAGGAGAGATCACCACTTCATAAGGTTCAACCTGTGAAATTTTTAAAAAGTAATAAAAATCCAGATACGCACAAAAAAGGCTCAGCACAAGAAAGAACCTCACTGGAGAATACACTAAAATGCTAAAAGGCTTCTAAGAAGAGATGTTAAAAGGGACACAGTCAGCTCAAAATTCAAATTCATTAAATTTTGTACAAAAAGTCCCTTTTAAGTCCAACAGAAATCCCTCTAGTGAATGTTTTTAAAATCCTGAGGATTTTTTAAAATGAACACACAGACATCCCTTTCAGTGTTTGCAATTAAAACGCAGTATTGCTAACACAAGAGAAGCTGCAGTCTGGTCAGCTGAGAAATTAAGTTAAAACTAAACAAAAAGCTATTTTTTACTACTCCAGAATGTGACCACAGATAATATAAAAACACTACTTTTCAATATGCCTGCATATATCTATGTTACTCGAAAAACACGTGTGCATAGACACACAGACACACTTCTCTGTTCATCTGAGCCACTCATCCTTTCCCAGATCAAAATTCTGGTCTTTGATATGAGAAAACTGCATTAGCTTTCCAGGCATTAACAACACAGAGCATATGCAAACAAGTTCAAATTTACATTGGTTCATTATTCCTTTTGGCTCAGAGAAATAGTATCTGCCTCACCGTTTCTCCCTCTTTCTTCTTTGTCTGCCCAGTGTAGGGCTCAATGACTCCAAGATGGTAGAGCTGTCTAACCAGGGATAAAGCACAGGACTGTGCTGCCAGCTTTTTGTTTGAGCCATGTTCACGAGCAAAGATTCCTGCAGCAAACAAACATTAAAGTTACAGTAGCCAATGATTCATGTTGTTTGTGAGGCTGAACAGCCTTACCATAAAATGGCAATACGAAATGTGTTTAGTGACTACTTAGAAGCAGCTTTCAGTAATAACCTGTACTGAAAAGAGGGACTCCTGGCTCCAGCCAGACTGTAACTAACACAAATAAATTCACATACAGTATTCACAAAAGCAGGTTTACCCTATACCAGTCAGCTTACCCAGGCTAACAAGAGGTTTTTTCCCCCACAACATTTGTGAAAGCCAAGACTCCCTTTCAGCATCACCTGGACCATACTATGCAGCAGGCCCATTTTCAATTTAGTACCAGCATACAAATCCAGTAGACACTTGACAGTAGTTTACTTGTGTTTTCAAACACCTGACAGGTCATTCTAAGCAATCCATACTACATCAATTTTACTGCATTATGGACATTATAAAAAGATCATCAGTTGACTGGTGAAGTTTCTAACTATGTAGATATCTGCTGTAAGTTCAAATCACAAGAGTAAGAACTGTGTGCTTGGTATCTTAAAAAACCCCAAGTTTCTAACTAGCTGTTTTGAAACTGTATAATTGTTGTGATTCTACAAGATTCTCCTCCATCCATCTTCCTCCATCCCAGTCCTGTATCTTTCTATCCTAAATCCTGACTACATACTTAACATGAGCAAGGTGGCTACTTGAACGTTCCTATTTTCAGCCCATTAAAAATAATTTCTAAAAGCGATACTTCAAGTAGTTCAATAATACTAGAAACCTGCATCCCTCAGGTCATTGAGGGTAGGGATGTAATAGTATAGTCGGATAATCAAAAGCGCATTGGCTGCAGGATCTTTACAAAAAGCACTCCATTGTCAAAAAAAAAAAAAAAAAAAAAAGTCTAAACTGCGGTTTGAGTTTCGAAATGGCGCTTGTTCAAAACAGTGCCATGATTATGCAAATGAAGCACCGGATATTTAAATCCCCGCTTCATTTGTGCTTTCGAAGTGCTTTACTTATATCCCTCTGCCGACAGAGGGGTATAGTTTAGACACAGCCTAATTGAGGGCCAAGAGCCTTAACCTATTTCACTAACCAGACATATGGGTATTTGAAATCACCACACACCATGTAGTCAGTGACCACATGTCACCCCTTTACAGCAGGGCAGGGCAAAATACGACCTATGGGCTAGATCTGGTCCAGCAAGCCACCGAATCTGGCCCATGGACACAGTGGGAGCCCTGCCCGACCTCCGCTGAGAAAAGCGGCTGCAGAGCCTGTTTGTCTTTTTACAATTGAGAGCCCAGGAAGAGGAGAGAGGGAAGGGAAGAAGCTTTGTGCGCTGCTCCAGCCACCAGCATAGTCCCAATGGCCAGTTTCCGACCAATGGGAGCTGCCTCTTTGAAGAACAGGCAATGTGCAAAGCACTCCTGCCCCCTTAGCTTGCAGCTATTTACAGACCTACATGGCCCCTGCGGTTGGTGAAAGGACAGGGTAGGCAGGGATCAGCAGGTTTCTCCTGCAGTGACTGCTGGATGGGAGTCGCACAGGTAAGTCTCCTCCTCTGGTACCTCAGCCCCTCTTTCCCCCACTCCACATAACCCAAACCATCTGCACCCATACTCACTCCCAGACCCTGCACTCCAGTATCCTGCCCCAGGTCACAACCACCTCCTTTATTCCAAACTCAATCCCAGACCCCACACCTCCTCCATTAATATCATGGAAGAGTGCAGCCCTTGATCACTTTCTAAATTCCTGGAGTGGTCCCCCCCATCAAAAATTACTGTCCAGCCCGGTTTTACAGTGAACAAAGGAATGGCCTATATGTTTAATGAACTAGCAACTAAAAGATTTACAGGGGGAAAAAAATGGTAAAAAAAACATTTCCATCATAATAGATAATGGTGAGAAAATGTCACCTTTTAGCATGCTGCTCGCTGGGCCCACTGGGGTGCTAACAGCAAGAAACACTCTCCAATTATTCTTACATGGACTCCTAACTATTCTTATGTTTCTTTGCTCTAAGACCCATCACTAGCCAGACAGGAAGAAAAAGACACTTACTTCTACCCAGCTGCTTGACATAAATGGTCATTTCTGCAATAAAGCTCCTGTAACACACAGAGACACAAAGTTAAGGCTTTAATTCTTGAGAGTGGCTGAACCCGACATTTCCAAGATGGCCAGGCTTTCCAACTGTTTAGATAAAGCTCATCAACATTCAATTAGAAACAATTCTTTCCTCAATTTTAGAAGGAAACATTAACCTTAAAATATGTGGTTTTCTCTGAAAAACTTGGTATGCGACACCTTCTCAATTGTGAGATCTGTTCCCTATGTATTTTGAGCAGCAGATTCACACTTCAACTTATGACTAAAATTAGATTCTCAGGCTTTTAATTCCATAAAAATAATGCAGCTAAGTAAGCTGCATTCTAGTTTGACCCATGGATCAATTATTCCAGTTGCAGATCCAGATTCTTCCCTTACTTGTTCCCTATGCAAATTAATAGTTAATGGGCAACACTGCCAAAAAAATAAATAAAAAAATAAATAAAAAAGGGAACAGTTTTTGGACACACATATTAGTATAGCTTAACTTCTGAACTAAAGAGTGATTAAAAAAGGACTGGCAATTGTGGGAAAAAACCCACATCTTGTAATTTGAGTAAATCTGATGACATGAACACAGAAACTCATGTTATATTATGGAGTTACTTTTCAGAATAGAAAGTAATAAAGTCATATAGAATAAAGAAACTGACAGCATTAGACAGAACTATCTGATGAGCTAGCTAGAGGACAGACTTGGAAGGGCTACATATCTTCATTTGTTTATTCCAGCATCAATATAGATATATATTTTTTCCTACTCTGTGTGGAATCAAGTAGTGAAATGTGACAAAATAGGCAGATAATGAAGTTGCCTTAACATTGTAGTCAATAATTCTGGTGACAAGATTCTTATAAGCAGTATTGCCTGACACTGAAATCTAGACTCTCTAGAGTAGTGTGTGTGTGTGTGTGTGTGTGTGTGTGTGTGTGTGTGTGTGTGTGTGTGTGTGTGTATATATATATATACACACACATACATATACACACACACACACACACACACACACATACAGAGCACATAGAGTTAGAACTTTAATTAAGTCCTCATTTTCATATGTTCTGCCTTTGCCTTCATTCAGAACACAATCAGCCTGCTATCAATATGGCGACCTCACTGAAGAGACTACTGGTACACTGATTTAAGGCTGTGATTTTCAGAGAAGTGTAAGGGAGTAAAACACCCACATTCCACTGAAATTCAAGAGGTGGAATTGCACTGGGCACCTCTCAAGTTATGCTTTAAAAAAAAAAATCCACAGCACAAATGTGTGTTCTAAGATTAGAAATTAAAACCGTGTTGTTATAACTTTGGGTTTAAACTTGCAAATATGATCCAAGGTGTCTGAGCTCTAACAGATGTAGTTCTTCTCTGAAAACTATGCCTCTGGTGCTTTCACTGCTGCAGGCATAACCTTGCAGCTAGGACACGGCATTGATTTCTCGCTGTAAATAAAAGAGAGGTTAGATGAGGCTTTAAGTTCAATGTTAGGATCCTTCCTGCACCTCTAGTGAACTGACCTTCAGGCACAGCGGCTTCATGAGTCAAAGGCCACTGGCTCTCAGGGATACAACAGCCACCCTTTCATTAATGACACCGATGCCAGTATGTTTCTCAGCCAGGCTTATAGTCAGCACTCAATCTCATTCTCCTCCACCTAAGGGGGGAACAGCGACACCAGAAATCAGTTTACAATAGACTCCCATGTGATTGCTTAGTACGGCCTAAGCAGAAACACATGTGTGAATGAGCACAGATCTCTGGTGTCGCCGTCTGCTACCCCTTTCAGCATGGAACAACAAGCAGCAATGCTGCACCCAGTCTGCCAGTGAAACCCCAAAAAAGGTAAGTCTCATCCCATCATTTGCTAAAACACTCATTTTTAATCTATGCACCAGGAGTTCTGCATTCACATTCCTTCAAAACAAACTCTCCTTATTCCAAATTTATGCTATTATCAAGAACATGTACACTCAGTTTGGAGGGACAGGTATAAAAAAAATTCACTGATGATACATATTTCTCCTTTAAAATTCCTCACTTATGGAAGAGCAAAACACTCAATATAAAAAATGCTATTTAAAAAATTAGAGCTGGCAAGAGACATGTAGATCTAGGAATTAGCTTTTTATTGGTAAATATTAACAAATTTAGATTTCACCACACACAAACAATTTCACCACACACAAAATATTGATAATCAAAATTTACAAATGAAATAAGAAAAATGCTGATTAAGAACTTAAAGAAAGTTACCTTAAATCAAACTGTACCTTTTGACAACATGCTTGGTTTCTAAAGCTTTAACTTTAAAGCAAGTAGATTCAGAAATAACTGTCAGGTCTGCCCATTGTTTTGCACAACTGAACATTTAAAATATTGGTATCTGCCAATACTACAAAAAATTGAAAACTGAATTCTGCCGAGCCTGGATATTTGTGAGGATTAGTGTTTCCTGAAAATACCACTATCATCCTATCTCTGCAATCCAGAAATACAGTGCAACTATTTCTCAGTTTTTACTGTACATATACCATAAGGATTCACCTGATGTGCAAATTTATACCTGACATTTAATATTAGAATAGGTCTAAAGAGTCAGCTATAGCAACAGTTCTCTCTCACAATCCACTTTCTTTCCACCATGCTGATCCACAGGAGAGTAATCCATACGAGCCTTCCTGGGAGTAATAACTACTACACCCTGGAACGCTCTCTGGAAAAACAGCAAGCGGGCTGAGAAACATACTAGCACTAACCACCACCCCACTTTTCCTCAATTACATGGACTATAAGGTCACCATCCACAAGGAACCCATATCTCCACACAATCTAACCTGTAACCTACAACTTATAGAAGTAAAAATTCTGTAGAACAACACTTAGAACTTTAATTTTATATAAACTCAGTAGTACACAATTAATCCTCAGCCCATTCGAGGCAGATAAGTACCCCACATCTGGAAACTGAAATGGAAGTGAACTGTCTTGAAGCAATGGCAATACAAGGTTTACATGAATACCCAGAGTTTCCTGATGTCAAACACATAACATTCATATATTTGAAAAAGATTTTTATGAAATCTTCCATCATTAATAGGAACTAACTAGAGAGGTATTCCAGAGTTCCTGGCAATCTTCTGAGAGTAGATGAAGGGACATTGGAATCAGAGAAAACAGAAATCCAGCTGTCTCTTTTGATAATAGCATAACCTTCAGAGAACACAGTTGGGATGGCAAAGGGCACAGTGGATTTCAAAAGGCTTATTTATACAGAACTGTTGTAATAAAAAAAAACCCAGTGTTTCTCTCCACAAGATTCTTATAAACTAGAAAACAGACTTTCCCCGACACAAAATGTTTCACATTTTTAAAGAAGCGTCTCCCAAGTTTAGATGAAAACTCAAAACTGAATTTTCCCAAAGAATGGAAATAACTCCATTTCAGAAGAACTTTCATCTTGCTGACTCACTTACCCGGGAACAGAGCAGTCTGGGATCCTAACTGTATGGCAGGAAACCAGACTGGACAGCCTTCCTGGTTTTTGTCAAAGTTTCAATACAATCAACACATTCCCACAGAACACCGATTCCATTAAATCAGCATATCCAAATGGAAATTTTCAACCAGCTTTAGTGGTAGCAATAATTAAGCATCCATTAGATACCTTCCCTGCCTAACCTAATTTAAACATAACACATTAATTTAATGTTTTGTTAATGCATTTTATAGTGAGTGGCACAGATGATTTACTTCTGCAATAATCTAGCAATCAAACTGAGACCTCCCCAGTTACCCATATTCATAACAATATTACCAGTATAAAGTGCAAAACAAAAGACACTTCTTTAAGCAAGTGCAAAAACCATCGAAGATTTCTCCACAATGCCAGCCATACCTCAATGCCAAAGAGCTCCTCCCCGCTCCCTGCCAAAGCCCAGAAGCACAGTCCCCATTCTTCTAATACACTAGATAGAATACTGCAAAGCCAAAGGCACTTTAAAAAAAAAAATCAATTGAGATGGGGGGGAAAAAGGTGTTGCTAAAAATTAATGTGAGGCACAATCCCCTTTCCAAGGACTACTGTTCATTGTCTTTTTAAGAGCTGTTGAGTCCAAGGAACCCAAGTTTTCTGCATAGGACTAAAGAGCATTACAAACTAGATCCACTGGATGGCACCAAACAAGGATTCCTCTTGCCCACAAATGTTTTTAAACACTTGTTACAGAAGGATATGAGTGAAACTAGCAAACCTGTTGTGATCAGGCCCCACTTGAGTGTATTTATATTCTCCCTGGACCTTCTCCTTTTGGAAAAACTGGTTCAGACGTGCCTTGGCATTCTCTAAAGTCCAATTTCCATGAAGACCAGCATTTAAGTCCACTTCTTCTGACTCCAAGGTCTATTATTGAAAACAATTTACATTTATTGGCTTCAATTGTGAAGTTTTGTTGCAAGTCTGTTTAAAACAACATTTAAAACTCAAGTTTCCTGAGTAATATGTCTGCATTCCATAGAAAAGTCAAGAATTTTCACAAGAAAACTAAGTGTCTTTAGGGCCTCAACACTATGTCCTCATACTGCTACAACAAAGTCTGTATAAATAATGTAAATGTTGAGGACAATCTTACCACCAGAGTACCCAGAATTATTCAGTTAATTTAAGATTAAATTGTTTACGGTAGTTAGCAAATTATTGGATATTAACAGTAACCAGCTGGTTCCTTCACAGATTAAAATCTCCTGTCCGTTAAAAAAAAAAAAAAAAAAAAAAAAGCTACAAAATACTGAACCCCTAAAATTTACAAGCCTGGCGCCAACTCTGATCTATAAATAAAGGAGGTGGAAAATACTTATCAGAACTAAAGCAGAATTAGATAGGTTAGCTTACAGCCTGTGCCTCTTGCTCCTCTTTTCTTGAATAGTAATCCTTCAGATTGGCTCCACGATCCCTTTGAGCCCCACCATAGCCAGAGCTTCCAACTCCTGCAGCTGGACCACCACCTAAAGGGGGGGAAAGTTAACTCTTCTCCTAACAATTGTGAGATACATGCTGAGAAGTCAGGTGCTCTGAAGAGGAAAGAGAAAAAACTGATCCTTTCCCAGATAGACCTCAGAAACATTCAATTATTATTATTATTTTTTTTAAAGAAACACATGAGACAAATATATGTAGGACAAAATGTATTCCTCCCTCCTCCCCCACACACACATTCACTCACTCTCTCTAACTATAAGATTAAATTACAGACATTCAAAGTCTGACCTGTTTCACTCTGCAGTGCCAAATGTGGAGGAAGAGGTCCACCCAGAGTAGACAAACGTTCACCAGGATTTTCCCCTGCTGCAGGAACTACTCCATCTGGAGCATCAGCAACTCCTGCCTGAGGAAGGGTGACAGCCCATGAATGGCAGGGACAACAACTTCATATAAAATGACAACTTTTTTCACTCTCTCAAGTCAGAAAAGCAGTCATATAATTTTAAGCTATATTCATTAGGTGTCCTACTGAAACGTAACATTCCTAGTTGCTTCAGGGGACAGAAAAAAATCCAAGTTTATGGTGCATGGCTTATATCCATGATCAAACAGGATGAACTATACTATGTAATTACTTACATACAAAAAACTATATTAAAAGAACATTGTTAATACTGCAAAAGTCACTCAAAAGTTAAGCACTGTTAGCTAGAGAACCTTAATACAGCCCCATAATGTGTATGCATTATGATAGTCTAATTACACAATCATATGTTTCCCACAGCCCCCTGCCTCTTCTAGTTAAGAGAAAAGATCTTCTCTAGGAATGAATCACAGTTGTGTAGTGAAGATTTGTCTGTAAAACACCATTTATTTGCTACAAAAGTTGAAAAATGAGTATCTGTTGTCGGTTCCAGGACACAGTAGGCATAAGCCCACCGGTAGCTAAAGGCCTTCCTCAAGGCTAAGTGGCTGGGGGACAGTGAACCCAGGCCATAACTGAATATTAGGGATAACTAATGAAAAAACAGATACGAGGTCATTGTAATGGGTTTGCCGCTGGGACCCCTTTAGGCCTATCACTTGATGTGTTAAAAATACCAATGAACCCACCTTCTCGTCCTCACGGGCATCCCGTAACTTGGTCCTGCTAAGCCAGGCCCTCAGGTTTACTCCTGCAGTCGGAGTGGCAGGCAAGGTTCCTCTAAGCTGAACAGTAGCACAGCCCTGCAGCTGCTTAATCACTCCACCCAGCCAGGGGCTCAGGGCTCCATATATGGAGCTGCCTGGCTGGAGGAAGGGCACTTCTTCAGCTACAGCTCCCAGGGGTGGGGAACCTATTGCCTCATTAAGTTCCCTGTAAGCTGTGAGGCAGGGCAGCCACTGGTGGTGCCTGAAATGAAGAGCCCAGCCCCTTTCCATCAACCCAACCTCCCTTCCTTCGCCACCAGCCTAAGGCTGTGGGAGGGAGTTTGAGTGGGAGAGGGATGCAGGCTCTGGGATAGGAATGTAAGAGACTAGTTGACTATCCCAGTGGTGCACAACCTTTTTTCCACTACAACCCCCATAGCTGGGGGCTGGACCTGGTCGTTGGCAGCCCTGCGATGCCCCAGAAAGATGTGTGCATCGCTCCATATCCTGGTCTCCCACCGCCACAATGAATGCAAGGAGCGTGGGGGAGGAGGGGAATCCCTGCTACCACCACCAATCAGGTCCCCAGGTCACCCTGAGCCCCACCAGCTCCCATCAATTTAGGGGATCGTCCTGCCCATATGATGGTTGGGGAGGCCACTACAGGGACCCCCAAAGTGCGGGGACCAAGACAGCTGCCCTAAACAGGTGATGCTTACTGGTTCCAGTTAGCCAGTGGGGACTGAAGCAACTCCCTGTCTCAGGCAGAGGGCTGCCCCAGCCCCAGCCCCATAGGGCCTGATGCGGACGAGGACACTCCAGCCCTGTCGCAGCAGCTCCTGTCTGCAGCAGGTCCCAGGCGCGGCAGGGGACCACTCCAGCCCACAAAGGCTAAAGTATCCCCCTTAATCTGTTAACCAGTTAAATATTATGTTTAAACAGTTAACCAGTTAAACAGGATTTTACATCATTACTAAGCAGCACAACATTGCACTTTACCTCCTGAAAGAATCAGACCCGTTCTCCTTCTTGACAGATGGGGAATAAAGACACTTACCCCTAAAGCTGGAATTTCTTCACTCTTGATTTCATTCACCCGAACTAAGTAATTAAGGAAGTCCCTAGCAGCATTGCTTTGTGCATCTTTCTTGTTTGTGGAATTGCCCATTCCAATGTAGTTAAAACCTTCCACCCGAACCTGCAACAAACAAACAAACAAACAAACAAAAACAAAGTCTGACTGATTCCAGACAGATAAGTGTGTTTGTTTAAAGCCTCACCATCTGAATACCCAACCAATTCCAATAAACTCTTAATCAATGTGGAATCTCAGCTGTGTATCTTCATTTGGCACCTTCTGGATCCTCAGCTAGCAGATGAGCAGCATCTTCCCATAGCTGATAAGTTCTATCAGCTTTTAGCCATGCCAAAGGCTGTGTGCCTACCTCTCACGCAATCATCCTTTTTTCTTTTCTGCCTATGTGGGCAATAAGTCATCCAGGGTGTCAACATTTTTACTGGAACAGCCAGGGATGAAATAGAGTCTGATATGCTGGAATGTGTTCCTGGTTGCCTCAACCAGTTTTTTGCTCTATAGAAGCAACAAAGAGTCCTGTGGTACCTTAGAGACCAACAAATTTATTAGGGCATAAGCTTCCGTGGGTAAAACTCACTTCATCAGATGAACTGGAGTGGACATTACAAAGGCAGAGGATTCCTCATTTTTGCAGGTACAGGCTAACATGGTTACCTCTCTGAGACTTTGCTCTAAAGCAGTGGTTCTCAAACTTTTTGCTTAACAACCAACCCCACTCAACGCAAACCTTTCTGCAGACCACCAGCCAACCACTCATAACGACAAAATGCCTTGCTAATCTGTATCTTAATACTAAATTATTCATATTGGGCTACTGGAGGATAAAAACAATTACACAGCTCTACCCTATGGTAGTAGGGTAACAAGTAAAATAAGAATATTAATCAAAGTAATTAAACAGATTAAGTGCTTTAACTTTGTTTACCAAACTTCATTTTAAATAAAGTAAAATATATTATGTCCAAAACAAAGGGTTTTAACACTATATTTAAGGCAGAGATGGGGAATCTTTTTTGGGTCAGGGGGCCACTGACCAACAAAAAAAAATTGGGGGGGGGGGGGGTGCAAAAACCCTCAATCCTCACTGATGTGGCCACTGACTGGGACACTTCACTCCCCTGACACTCCAGCTCCACAGAGAGAGGGGGGCAAGGGAGATTCAGGACTTCCCACAAGCCAGATTAACTCTTCTGGGTCTCTCCTAGGCTCTCCAGGCTAAAATGAGGGGTCTGGTGTGCAGGCCTGCCAGAGAGTGAGATAGGGATGTGGGGGGGGTGAGGGTGCAAGGTCTGGGGCCCCCTGGGGCACCTAAAAAACCCAGGTGTTCCACCAGGTTTGGGGGCCTGGCTCCACGTCAGTTGCGCCTGGTGAAGATGATGGAGTGTGGTCCTCTCTTGGATGGGACGAGCCCAGCAGCCCCTCCTCCTCGGCAGGTCTCAGCTGCCACAGGCCCACGTAGGAGGGACGTGAGGTCCCACTCGGTAACATCCTTCCTCTGCTGCGGAAGTGTAGCTCATTGCAGAACCGTGGCTTTGCCTAGCTCAGCAGCCAGTAATTGGGTTTCACTCTTCCTTGGTATTTATGTTTTGTGCAGACATGGGAGTCAATTAGAGGCTGTGGAAACAGCAGCGCCAGGGGCAGGGCTTTCATGTGCGCTCTGCTCGGGGACTCTCAGGAAGGGTGATTACCATATTAAGCATCCTTTGCTCAGCTAAAAAAGCACAGTTGTGTCCCTCCCACACTGGCAAACAGGAAAACCAAATGGGAGGTGCAGCGGGAGACAGGCGCGAGGCAGCGTTCCACTTGGTCTTTCGCTGCATGTTAATGCGGCTGACGTTTACGTTTCTCTTGCCTCAGTTTTATTTATTCATTTAGAACCGAAAACTTTCCCCAGCTCCTCCCCTCCCCCAAGGCTACGCCCCGCCCCGCCCACCCCAGCCCGATCCTTCCCAGCCATGTGGAAGGATGGGGCTGCCGCACCATGGCCCCAGCCTTCCCCCGCAGTCCCCTCAGTAGTGACAGATGGCAGAACAAGGAGCAATGGTCTCAAGTTGTGGTGGGAGAGGTCCAGATTGGATATTAGGAAAAACTATTTTACTAGAAGGGTAATGAAGCACTGGAATGGGTTACCTAGGGAAGTAGTGGAGTCTCCATCCCTAGAGGTATTTAAGTCTCGGCTTGACAAAGACCTGGCCGGGTTGATTTAGATGGGATTGGTCCTGCCTAGAGCGGGGGGCTGGACTTGACGACCTTCTGGGGTCTCTTCCAGTTCTATGATAAGGGGATGGTTGGATGAAATAACAGGATCTTGGTAACTAATTGACCATTCATTATCAGTTGGAAATAGGTCAATGGAGGGATGATAGGAGTCGCTATAGGGAACTTTCTGGGTGTCTGGCTGGTGAGTCTTGCCCACATGCTCAGGGCTTAGCTGATCGCCATATTTGGGGTTGGGAAGGAATTTTCCTCCAGGGTAGATTGGCAGAGGCCCTGGAGGTTTTTCGCCTTCCTCTATAGCATTGGGCACAGATCACAGCTGAAGGACTCTCTGCATGTTGGGTCCTTCAAAGTATTTGAAGGCTTCAATATCTTTGATATAGGCGAGAGGATTATTCTAAGAGGGGTGGTTGAGATTCTGTGGCCTGCACTGTGCAGGGGGTCAGACTAGATGATCATAATGGTCCCTTCTGACCTTAAAGTCTATGAGGTACAGGGGCAGAATGAAAGTCAGGGCCTGGGTGGGAGGTAGGGATGTGTAAAAGGGAGGTAACTGTGTATCCACTGAAAATCTCGGCATTTACACTCCGCGGACTCTGTAGTATTGTGCGCCGGGAGCCAGCTTTTAAGCCAGCTCCTGCCTGCCATCCCCGTTCCTGACATCGGCTCCCGTCCGCCGCCCTGTTCCGAGGGAGCAGGCAGCCGCGCTGCAGCAGCTGCCCCAATCACGTGGGGGGGGGGGGGAAGGGCTTGGAACGCCAGCGCCGGTCCCCCCCACGCTGCAAGGGGAGGCCGAGCTGCGGACCACAGTGAGAACCGCCGCTTTACGTAGGCGGAGGGCAGGGCCAACGGACGTTGAGGCGTCGCGTGCCGGCCAACCGCAGCAATACGGAGGCTCGCGGGGGGGGGAGGCGGCGCGCGCTGCAAAGGCTGAGCCAGGCACCGCGCCTACTCTCCAGGGCGGGGTGAGGTCGCAAAACGGCCCCGGGACCGACGCGCCTCTCCCGGGCGCAGCCGGCAGCCGCGGCTGGCCCCTCAGCTCCGACCTGCACAGCGGCCCCAGCCCGCGCCCCGACGCCGCGGGGAGGGGAGGGCCCGCACCTCACACATGAACTTCTGGCGGTTCTTGTTGCCCACGGCGCGGATCTCGTAGGTCGGCGTCACCTTCCTCTTGCCGCACCAGGCGTACAGGAAGTTCTTCACGTCCCCCATCGCGCCGCCGGGCCGGGGAAGGGGCAGGCCGCGGCCGCGCCGACAGGCGTAGGGAAGGGTCGGGGTACTACGGCCAGGCGCATGCGCAGAAACAAAATGCACGCAGCTCCTCAGGCTCCGCCCCTTGTCAGGTGCCTGGGCCGCGCCGCTAACCGCGACTCTGCGTAGGGGCGGGAGGGAGCCAAGCGCCTCGCTCGCCCAGCGCCGCAAAATGGCGGGTGCTCTGCGCGTGCGCACAAAGGGTAGCCCCTCCCTCCATGGCCGACTCCGCCCAAGCGAGGGGTAGACAGGCCAGGCCTGGAGCCCCTCCCCCCGCTGTCAGCCTGCGGGCGGGGCGAGCTGCTGCCAGAGAGATCATTGCAGAATCTACCCCTAGGGTCAGCTCCCTTAAGGGGGGGGGGGGAGCAGATCCCAATACAGTTTGTGAGACTAGAAAACAATCCCCCCCATCCATCCAGCGCTGCCCCTCCAAATAACTTAAAAAACCCTTAAAAACAAATGCTCTGGTAGCACTTTGTAGGCGAACAAAACATGTAGACGGGATCGTGCGCTTCGGTGGGGTAACCCACTTTGGTCCCATCTACCTGTTTTGTTCGTCTTTAAAGTGCTACCAGACCATGTGTTGTTTTTTAAGTTTTTCTTGTTATAGACTAACTTGGCTACCCCCGAAAGGGTTTTTTTAAAAAAAAAGTCCTGTGGCACCTCAGAGACGAACAAAAATATATGTATAGTATCATAAGCGATTGTGGGCAAAATCCTATTAGAAGTTGTCTTTTAAAGTTACAGACTAACATGGCTACCTTTCAAAAAAACATTTTTCCAGCCAAGAAAGAGACAAACGTTTTCAAGAATGTTTTTATGATCTGTGTAAGAAAATATACAGAAATTTTATTGAAATGTTAAACAAATATTCAGAGGCAAACAGTTTAATAGCTGGAGATTTGTATAAACAGATCAAGACACATTTAAAAACTACCACACCAAAAGACTGGAATAATTTGAATCTGTCAGAAAAGTTATTCAGTTGAAGATCTCATGTTTAGATAATTCATCTATCTATATATTAAAATATGCAGAAAGCAAGTAACAGTGTATTGTTATGTATGCAGCACTGCACAAAGCATAGAGGATCTCATCTGGATTAAAGAGAATCTAAAAAGCATCACAGTAACAACTTTAAGGAAAACACAGTAGAATTCTCCTAAAATATCAGAATCTGGAACTGCACAGTCTTAAACTTTCCTATGATTTTTGTCATGGTGGCTTCTGCATGCTTACTTCATTCAATAGTGGTTATGCAAGGAACAACTGCAGATATGTAGTGCTCTTGGTTATTTCAGAAGCCATCTGTTTCCCTGTTTGAAGCCACCAGAGAAGCTTATCTACATCCCTTTATAGATTCAAGAGAATAATCTTGTCAACTGCCTAACTCAGTCAGGGCTTCTACAGTTTGTGTTCTGCTTCTGCAGATAGGAAGTTAAATTATTATTGCCAAACGGAAGAAGTTAATGGAATGTTACTGTCCAGATTACTGAGAAACCTTGGATACTGAAATAGCAACAGATCGCCAGATTCTCAAACCTGATTCTCCCTGGTTTGTACACTATGCAGTCATTCTTACCAGGGCAAAGTGAGTGTAAACTGCTATCAAATCAAAATTCTCCAGGCACCTAAATGGTAGTATTTGGCCAAGGTATAAACAATTATACAGGGTAAGAGGTAGTGGAAAATTAGATCCTATATGTGTAAGAGGACCCCTTACTATCAGCAATAAGTGACACCTGTAAAAAGTGGTGGTGCTTTGCATTGCCTTGTAGAACCTCTGGTTCGTTTCTTGCTCCAACTCTGGTGCTGCATTTGCCGGCACATGCTGGGAATGGGAACAAGAGAGAGCAAGTGCTGTCTGTCACAAACAAATAACTTAAAAGTTTTTGTTTGAGGAATTACAGGGAGAGCAAGAAAATGGAGGAGAGAGATAAAGAAAAAGAAGCACATGGAAGAAATGTCTTCTGGGAATCCTGGGCACAAAATCTCTTTAGATGAGCCACCTGCTTCTTTTTACTCACTGGTAAAAATGGAGTTTGACATAAAAGCTGCACTAAAATACTAGGTTGAGCAGAAGGAAGATGTCACATCAGAGTACAAGCAACATTATGTTACTCACATCCCAGCGTTATAAAAAAAAGTATGTGTGTGGTGGAGGGGGGGGCGGAAGGGTTGAGACTGTTGTAGAAGAAAATTCTGAGTCAGAGACAGAGTCCTTTTACCACTTCCCTTTCCAGAGTAGCTCAGGCCACTCAGATAAACAGAATTCCTCTGTATAGTAAAGTGACCTTTGGGTAAGGCTAAAAAAAAGAAAGCAAGATATAGGCTAGCAAGGCCGTCTTAGATAGGAGCCACTTATTACACATTCTATGATGAAGTCTCATTGAGTCAATATGTCCCCCAAAAGGAGAACACTTCAAATGCTAATGAATCTCAAAAGCAGAGGCTCCTTGATCTACGGGAGTTTGGGAAAGTGATCGATCACACTCTTCAGTTTGGCATTTGCTTTCTCAATAAAATCCTGAGAGGCTCTTAGGAGTGGAAGCCGAGGGGGACCCATTACAATCCCTGAGGCAAATGTCATAACTTCTTTAATCTGTGCAACACCAAAACCTAGGCAGACAAAAGAAAAAGGAGATTACTTAAATATATCTCTAAAACACAAGATGGTCACTACAGAGAGCTCTAAAATCCCAAGCATACCAGCTATTCCAGCTCTTGTGAAATCCAGTAATGTGGTCAAAGTTTAATTTTCCATTAGGATGAGAGATATAATTAGCACATTATGTTTGCAGACAAAAAACTATTACAGTAAAAACAGAGGTGAAAGTAAGCAGGTGCACCCTGGAACGCAGGTCTGGCAAGAGCTGGCTGAGCTATGGCAAAAGCCAGCAAAGGGCTATTTAGGACAATACTTGCGAGAAATTTTAAATTACTTTCACCGCTGAGTACAAACCACCCATCTACCCATATTTTCCTCCAAAATGCCTCACGTACAGTATTTCCATAGTAATGGATGCGTCTGAAAAGTGTGGTTTTGGGTGGGTCTTCCACATTAAATAGGGTCACTTTTATAGATAAGATGTATCATTTAACTCCCAGCCCAGCAAATACAACCAGCCAGGAACCGAAAGGCCAACCACATCCTTTTTGTTTTATATAGAATACCAGAAATAATACAGATTCTGTAGTTAGGATTCAGTTAAAAATTCTTTTGATTATGTGCAAAACAGAAAAATCTCTTCCCCAAAGTGGTGTTGGCCCTACAAGTTTAACAGGAGAAAACATGTATTTTTGCCAGCAAAGTCAATAGATATAGTTTTGAAAGCACAAGGGGAGTTGGCCGGTGATGTAAAAACAATACTTTGTTACAGTCATTTTCTTATCGGTGGATTTTTAGATTCTTGAGCTTGATTGTCCTCTTACTTACCCCACTTATATGTGTGTATCTGCACTCACTCCAATGGAGTTATTCTGAAGTTACACCAATATAAGGGAGAGGAGAATCAGGCTCCTTATGCTTTGTCATAGGGCATTTTATTACCTTGTCTGGGATTGAGCACACTCAGTAACAGTGACAGTGACAGTGACACCAAGAGTGAGCTTGGGAAGAAAAACGGAGAGAGTCAGGATAAGAAATTATCAGGGATAGAACAAAAGCAGGAGATGGAATAAGAAGAAATGCTTGTTTTCATTTGTTTGGAATTGAGGAAGGTGTCAGAAGGCCTGGCCAAAGAAGGGAATGCGAGCGGAATCTTTCTGGACCTGCTTCACCCCCTTAGTCACTGAACGCCCAACTGCTGCTAACTCACACGGCAACAGCACATGTGAGCTCTCCCTTTTGAGAGATCTTTCGGAAGGAAGCTTCTCTGGTTGCAGGAATCTGGAAGCTTTAGCATAGCTCATGGATTTTCAGTCCCCAGTTTACAACACAGCAAGGGAGGAAAATATTGCAGCACCTACCTAGTTGGATGACAAAGCTGAGAAATTCTCCAGCACAGAACTAGAAGAGAAAAACAGGCAGCATTTTTATTCACTTTTTCAAGACAACGGCTCTAGATGCTTGTATTACAATTTTGTTACAAACATAACAAAGGGAAGCCTCCAGTATATTTGGCATGCCGTCGTAAGTAATCAGCTTACTCTGTCCCACCCCCCAACAAACCACTCCAACTCAGGCCATCCTTGTCATTCAACGGGGCCCCTTAGCACGACTAACTGGTGCACCATGCCCTTCTAGACCTCTAGAAAGGAAGTCCGATCTAGAAGATACCGATAGCCTATCAACAGTCCCTCCCTTTTAGAGCAAAGGAGCAGGGGGCCCTCAGCCACAATTTCTTACAGGTTCTGTTGTATCATCATCCCCCTATGAGTACTAAAAACTGAAGGGGATCATTTTGTTTCTAGTGTATGTAAATGTAATTCAAATGATAGATCATGGGCTGTAGGGCAGGCACAGGGCTGACAGTTGGGGAGTGCGGGTGTGTGAAGGGGGAAATGCAGTGTGTGTGTGGAGGAAGGAGTGGGGATGGGCGCATCTGGACAGTCCCGGTTGCTGTTGGTGACCCTGCCCCGTACTGCTCCTGTTCCCAGTGGGAGCTGTGGGGGCAGCACCTGCAGGCAAAGCAATGCGTGAAGACCCCCTGGCCACTCCCTTCTCCCCGGGAGCCACACAAACACGCCTGCTCTGCTGCCAGGTGCAGCGCAGGGCCAGCAGGATAGGCTGGGAGCCCCACTACCCGGGATGCACATACCTCTCCCTGCAGCGTTAGGGCAGCTTCTGCCAGCTCCCTGCTCCAGTGTCACTGGCCTGGAGAAGAAGCAACCCCAGCTGCTTCCAAATCCCCTACAGTAGCGGGAGCTCTGCTTCTAGCTCCCCCAAGCAGTGCTGGTGCTAGGGCCAGGCATCCAGAGCCCCGCCCCTAGCCAGCCACTTTCTTACCCGTACGACATCCCAGAATGCATGGGTCTACATTCACCTTTGCCCCAGCAGCTCAAAACTGTGATAGAAAGTTGTTTATCATTTGCATATTGATTCCTCCATTGCATAGCCTCCGACTAACCCTCTGACATGCTGAGCAAGAAGGGTAATGGAAACCCTGTGAAACCCTGCATGAGGGAGGTCCCTGGGTGCAGAACACTACCAAGAATGGGTCCATCAGCCCTTGTGAGGGGCCTCAGACATAGCAGCCACACCCAGGGGTCAAGCATATCAAAGGCAGCTGACATAGCTAAAATAATCAGCACATTACCCATTCTTCACCCCTTGCTGAGTAAAAAGCAACCAATGCAATCAGTGGAGTATCTGTGCCATACTGACAGATGTCCAAAAAATCCAAGAGAATACCAGATCCCACTTTCCCAATTTTCCCCTAATGGGAGATCCAGCACAGGCAGAATGATTTAGGTTAGGCAATGGTTTCTTGAACAGAAGCTGCAGTAGTACCACTGAGGACTCCTGGCACCTTCTTTCTTGAAGAAAAGGTGTGTATCTCGGCCAGCAGTAGATTTGCTGTCTCTCCATTGGCTTTTACCAGACAGGAAGTACTGAAGTTCAGCTCACAGGCTATACCCCAAAACTACATCAGCTGTTACAACTTTTCCTTCCCTGCACCTCAGCAGGACAATTCCCTTTTTCAGGTAGAGCTCAACCTCAGTTCTGGGGAAGTGGGACCCGGAGGAAAGAGGTGATGCCTGCTCCACCCTAACCTCCCTTCCCCACAAGCAACTGAAAGGGGGCAAGAAACTGTTGAGACTGGTTAAAAAGTGGGTGGAGTGGACAATGATTCATGCAGAATCGTTAGAAAGAAGAGGGCCACCACCCCTTAAAACCGATAGGGCATGGAGGCCTACAGATAGGGAGTATCTGAATAGTTATCAATAAAGGGTGCTCAGCATGAGAATCACAGGAGGCCATCCACACTAGTCAGCAGGCAGGTGTGTGCACATGCATGGGAAGGGAAGAGGAAGGAGCACGGGTACGAAGAACATTGATTGGAAATGGGACAAGAGGATCCTAGAACAGGTTTTACTGAAGCCAAAACATACACGTACATCCATGTGTCTGGGGTAAACAAACAGACCTGTCTGGGCTAGACAGTTTAGGAAGGAAGAAAGGGACTGTGCCCATTCCACACAGGGGTTAGGGCGCTGAAGGGGAGGTTACACAAGGGGAAGGAAAATGTGCTGTGCCTTGGCTAGTTAAAATAGCAGGATTTGTGCCTGAATCAGTTTAAGAAAAGAGGAACTTTTTTCTGTGTGAATGTGGTGCTGAGAGAGATTAGCCTCCATAGGTAGGGTAGTGGAGGTGGGAAATGATAGGGAGTGAATAAAGAGAAGTTTAGGTGAGTGGTGAGAGGACACTCACATTATGAGCAAATGAAGAGGATGTACCTGACACTGTTGTGCTAACTCAAGGTCTTGCTTTGCAAAAGCCTCCAACATCACGTTGTATTGTTTGCCCAGGTAGTTGTATGTGCTGCCAAAAAAAAAACAAATTAAACTCAATTATGCAAAGGGGGGCTTAGAACAGCCACCTCAACTAGAGCAAATAGACTTTCTCGTGCAATATTTCATTTTCAGAATGTAATTATTCCGATCAAGAAATTCCAGTGGTCTGGAGTAGTGTTTCTCAACCTTTTTCTTTTTATAAAATACCCCTTTTAAAAAAAATTATAAGTACGCTCAGTACCTACAGTTTTCCAACACAAATTTTTTTCCTACCATTGCAACACATTTGTTTAAACAACTTAATCTTAGCTGGGTGGGCGATTAAATTTTTGGGTGCAAAAAGTACAAAAATAATAAAACACTGTAAAACTTAAAACAAAAATTCTGTTTTCTCCAAATTTCAGTTGTGTTGTCGTACTCCCCCCCCAAGGGTACTCATACCACTGGTTGAGAAACATTGGTCTGGAGCACATTGTGTACAGTTGAGTAAAAGCATGGCTACCCCCAATAAAAGTTAGATTAAGAGTATGTCTACACTATAGAAAAGATTGAAGCTGCTGCTGTCGATCTTCCAGGATTTGAATTAGCGGGTCTTGAGAAGACAACCTAATTCAAACTGAGAGGGGCGCTCCAGTCTATGCCAGTAGTCCTGTATCCACGATGAGTAAGGGAAGTCAAAGGGAGAGTGTTCTCCCTTCAACTTCCTGCAGTGTAGACAGTGCCAAAAGTCAAGTTAAGGTACTTCGACTTCAGCTACGCAATCAACATAGCTGAAGTTGCGTGCCTTAATCTGACCTTATCCTATAGCGTAAACATATCCGTTGTGTACCCTTCCCACCATATTTACAAATGGCACTGTTTTTCCAAGAACAAAAAAATTCCTTAGCCATTCTGGGGAACAATCACACTTTGTTTTCTCATCACTTGTGTGATTTATGGATTGACTCTAGATGAATCCCAATGCACTACAGTGCTTAAGTGCTCACCTGGACCTATCCGTTTATTTGCTGCAGAACTGCTTGTTATTTTTGCTGCAATGGACTAACACGGCTACTCTCTGAAACTTGTCACCAGGACCTACATTCAATTCCCTTCTCCTCCGCCGACATTCCACAAGATCACCCATAAAATCTTAGTCTCCGAGCTTCGGTTCCCCCTCTGTAAAGAGGGTAATAATCCAATCCTGCCTCACAGCAATGCTATGGATTTATTTATCTTCACTAAAGTTTATATGGCACTCAGAGTATTACAGTAAAGGGCTCCATAGCAGGGAAGCTGACAGCCTACATGGACCTCTGAGCAAGTGGGGTGGTGGCTTTGCATTCACAGAAGGGATAGGGCCTCAGGCTGAAAGGGCACAGCCAGCCCTCCCATGGCAATTTAAAGGGCCTAGTGCTCGAGCCACCACCAGTGGCAGCAGGCGCTCCAGGCCTCTTTGAATTGACAGGGCCCAGGGCAACTGCCTCCTTTGCCCCCCTCCACGCCATCAGTGGGCTTACATGTAAGTGCAATACAGAGACAGACAGTGGGAAATTGCAAAGAGTCTGTCCTTCCAACTGCCCCAGATGCTCCCACAACCAGTGCACTCAGCAGTTGCTAGTTTGTGAGGGGAAAAAAAAACATTTTACTTCATATAATAAAAAGTAATGGAAGAATGAGCAGTAGAGCTCACAGTTGTGAACATGGCTAGAACTCACGCTGGGTAGTAATTATTCAGGTTGAAACCAGGCTCTTTCTTGTGTAAGCCACATAGCTTTTAGACGCGATCATTAAAAGCGCAGCCCCTTACCTCATCCACCCCATAAAGCAGCACAAACTTCTCTTGGTACTTGTTCACACACTGTGCAAAGTCCAAGAGGTCTGTGTCACTGAACTTCACTCCCTGGAAGGTGGGGATCTGTTCTGTTATCCCATCCAGCAGCTCCTCAACACGAACTGCACAGAACAACAGTCTCATATCAAGAAACACATCCCAGTCACACAAAGGACATCTTTGATCTCCTCCCCAGAAAAAGGTCATCCCGGACATGCAGCCCTTATTGTTCATGTGAGCAGAGTCTGGTCCCCTCCCCATTCCCTAACGAGGCAGACTTGTTGCTTTCCAACATTTTCTTTATGGTTTACATGTAAGAGCGTGGTTACTTAAATAGCACTAAAAGTGCCAGTAAATAGCACTAAAAGAGTCAGACTGTATGACGAGAGGCACGAATGCACTTAGGAGATATGTACCATTGATGTAGAATTGTCATACCCACCTCCCATTTACATCTACTCCTGTGGTACGTGCTTGCTGACAATAGCACAGATTATCGCATGGGATATAATCACATCTAAGACGAATAGTGTCTATTCTGCAGCATGTTCTTTTTTCCCCCCATTGTCTAGCTCCTTCTTGACTCCATTCATCTCAAGAAGTGGCCTGTGCCCACAAAAGCTCACGATACCATCTACATGTTTTGTTAGTCTCTACAGTGCTGCAGGACTATTTGTTGTTGTTTAAGTTTCTCCTTCTTGAGTATTCATCTTATCAGTTCAGAAACTGAGAAATACAGTTGGAGAAGCAGTTCAGAAATGAACTGGTAGCTACAATTTAAGAATAAATAAATACATTCAAAGAGGCAATGCAATCTGCTGCTCACAGCAAGGGAGTAAAAAACCAGGTCAATTCTTAGCTGTCTTGCAAACCACCTTGGGTTTCTCCATACAGGCAGTCCCCGGGTTACGTACAAGATAGGGACTGTAGGTTTGTTCTTAAGTTGAATTTGTATGTAAGTCGGAACTGGTACATATTGTAGGGGAAACTCTAGCCAAACATTTCTCCAGAGCTCAGTTTTATTCTCCCACACCTCACTTCCCTCAGTCCTTTATTCTCAAGCTGAGGTGTCTGCTGAGAAAAGCCGCTCCATGTCTCCCTGGTCTGCTGGGGGGAAGCAGCTAGTGCGGGGTTGCCTCACCCCGTTTGTAAGTAGGGATCCGATGTAAGTCGGATCCATGTAACCCGGGGACTGCCTGGATTAGAAAAAGTTACTGTGGCTGAACGTGGTTAGTATACTAGCTAGCTAACCAGGACTATCCCACCCAGCCAGTTATATCCTATTTTGTACATGGGCATTTGATTTTCCTTCCTACCTGCTATGCTTTGCACTTGTCTCCACTGAATTTCTTCTTGTTGATTTCAGACCAATTCTCCCACTTGGCAAGGTTGTTTTGAATTCTACTCCTGTCCTCCAATGTTCCTGCAACCCCTCTCAGCTTAGTCTTCTCTGCAAATTTTATACGTACCCTCTCCACTTCATTATTCAAGTCATTAATATAAATATTGACTAGTGCCAGACTCAGGACTGACCCCTCTGAGAACCCACTAGATATGTCCTCCCAATTTGATAGCAAGCTATTCAAAACTACTCTCAGAATGTTTTCTTAACCAGTTCCAGTCTAGTAACTTAATCTGGACCACATTTCCCTAGTTTGCTTAAGAGAATGACATGTTGGGCCGTGTTAAAAGCCATATGAAAATCATGATACGATTACATCTACTGCTTCTCCCCACTATTTAATAATTCTGTCAAAAAAGGAAATTAATTTGGTTTTGCATGATTTGTTCTTGACAAATCCGTGCCGGCTAGAGTTTATAACTATTCTCTTCAAGGTGGTTACAAATTGATTTTGTAAATAATTTGTCCTTCCATGTACTAAAGTTAGGCTGGCTGGCCTAGGATTCCCAAGATTTTCTCTGTTCCCCTTTTTATAGATAGGCATTGCCTTTCATCCAACATCCAAGAGTTCTCTAACATAATTGCTAATAGTTCTGAGATTGCTTCAATTAGCTCCTTATGTACCCTAGAATACATTTAATCAGGCCTGGTTGACCTAAATACATCTAATTTACCTAAAGATTCTATAATCAGCTCTATTACGGCTTGTTTTGCTCCCCCTTTGTTAATATTGTGTTGAGTATCTGGTCACCATTAACAATTTAGTAAAGACCGAAGCAAAATAGCTATTAAATGCCTCAGCCTTCTTGATGTCATCAGTTATTAAAATCTCCTTTCCCATTAAGTACAGGGTCTACTTGATCATTCAGTCCTGTTTCAGCATAGTAACATTAGTTAATGTAGATGAGCTAAATTTGCTTTCAAATCCTAGATTCACCAGCCGTTTCCTGAGTGAATCCCTCGAACAGGGAAAGTCTGCGTATATTAGGAGCAAGAGTTATTGACTGACCGATACTTACTCTTCACACCTGTTAAAGGGGGAATATGATAGTAATAAAATGGAGTGTCAGGGGCTTCAGATGCAACTTCCTGTAAGAAGGCAACCAGTGCGTCTGAAAGAGGCAAGGAAAGAAGGCAGTCATACTCCGAGGCAAGGGAAGGAGATCATCCGCACAAAGGGGAGTTCAAGTTCATAGATATATCAAAAAAATCCATCTCTAAGGAGACGCTGTTTTGCCATCTCTTCTGTGTTTAATAGGTGTAGGATATAGGAACTGGGCACTAAACTTTTAGTAGTGAGCCCTCTAAGGTTTCTCACTGTCTAGGTTTCAGAAACCAACAGACCAGCACTGTATACAGGTAACTAGGTCTCAAATGGTATATAAGGTTTAGTAAACATGATTTCACATCCACTGAGCCAGTGTAGTTCCTTCAAATTACATGTGTTGTATAAAAAGCAAGAGACAATAGGTTATTTCATTTTGGGCTAATATGACAGATTGGTAACACTAGCTTGGGTAGCGTTGTGCAAGCTTCTTCCACATAGTTCTAATATTTAGCCTCACTTCTATCTGCACTTCAAAAGTAATATGCCTCAACCCTGTTAATCCACCCCAGTGATTCAGCAAAGACTGTCAAATATGCCAATGTGACATATGCAATTTGGCATGTCTAACAGGCATCAACAGGAGATCATCGATTAGTTTCTCTAGTGATCAAGATCCAATACAAAGTCAGTTTGTGAAGGGGAGATATTCGTGCATCAGCTACCAATTCAACGGAGCACCTCTCTCCTCCTTTCTTTGCAGTGGGGATGCAGCTCATGTTTGTACAGCTCCAAGCATGCAACTGCCATTCCATCAGTGTTATTTCCAGAAAAGGTTTCCAAAAGAATGCTCATATGACAGCGAGGATGGTAGCATTCTGCACGTGAGTAGCAGAAGGTAAAGGAAGAGCTTAGACCTATGTTAAAGCTCAGAGGCGGATGTAGGGCAGGGCGAGTGGGGCGGCTGTCCAGGGCCCCGCGCTTCAAGAGGCCCCACACATGCGCCGTGGCGCCACGGTGCATGCGCCGTGTCAAAGGGGGGGCCCTGCGAAATTGTGCTGCCCTGGGCCCCGCAAAACCTTCATCCGCCCCTGTTAAAGCTCAAGAACCTGCTCTCCTAGGAGAATCCCCAACACTTGGAGGACAATGAGGTGTTGTCCATATAGCAAAGATACAGATGCCATGTGACCCACTACAGCAGCGTTACTGCCACAGATCTCTAAAAAGCCTGACCACCCTTAAACACACCAGCAGAAGAAAAAGGGCCTCTGTGGGTGCAATGGCCACAGAGATCTCTGCTCACCTTTGTTTGTAGGTTTCAAAAAAGAGGGGGCGATCCCAGCAATCCCACTGGCCCCGATGTCAGCTGCATGGCGGGCCTGGACAGGAAAGAACAGAATGTATCAAAGGTGCATTGCGCTGCACATGTTTCTCTCATGCACGTGGGAAAGAACCACATGAATCCATTGCACAGCTACCAGTTAAACCCCAAGAAGCAAGCTGGACACCGTGGAACAAGCCCAGCCCTGACGTCAATGTGAGTTGTACCAGTCTGTGCCAGAGATGAAGGTGCCCTTCCATCAACATAATGCACAGCCTCTGTTTCTAAACAAAGCACATATCGCCTCTGCCTGATTAACAAATGAGCCTCTTTCCTTACAGCTCCCATCTCCCAAGAAAAAGGTTAGCGTCACTGACCCCATTGTACACACAGGGAGATTGAGAGAGGTTAAGCGACTTGGTCAAGTCACACAGGAAGTAAGTAGCAAAAGCTGGGAATAAAAACCCTGCTCTCTGGCACCGTCAGGTTCTTCAAGAATTGTCCTTCCTAAAGCTGCTACGTGCCTTTAAGATTCCCACATCCCCTGAAGAAGTGGCCAGGACCGCTTCTGAGAACATGTGTGTGAGTAGCTGAGAGAGAGCATGCATCTATATGTGAGCAGGGGCTAGCTGAGAGAGAGACTGAATGGGAGGAGGGGAGAGAGTAGAGAAGCCCCCTAAGAAACAAGGAAGAAGAAGTGAAGGGTGGTGGTCCTGGGGGTGCAATGGAAGGAATAAAGGGCAGATATAGGGGAGCCATGTTACCAGTGCCTGTGCTTTAGCCTAACCAGGTTTTTCTAGCATGCCCATCACGATAGTGTCATTCTCTCACCCCAATGACCCTCAATTTCCTTGCAACATAGGCTGGCACAGAGAGGATTTCTTTTTGTCCAGAACATCAATACATCTAGAGCTGATTCTCTTTTCTGACTGCCACCCTGTCTCTAAAGCATCCCAATTTTGACCGCAGACTCCACATCCCACATGCCTACCTTGTTGAATGTTAAAAGGTACCTAATAATTTTGGGGGCACAGCAGATGCCATCTGTTATATCAGTGATGCAGCAATATCCCCTCATAAGAAGCGGATGCAACTTCATGACACAAGGTCATCCCTTAGGATGAAGCCACAAAGTTCAAAAGCCTCCTCCATTCATTAAATCTTCCCACACCAAGAGCGCAGTGAATAGGAGCCTCACAATTCCAGAGCGGCCTGAGGTTTACCCTGAAGCAACCTAAGCAAATTAATACAATTAAAAGGTACATGTGAGGGGCATCAGGTCACATTAGGAAGATTTCCCTCCAACCTGGGAGAATATTTTTACTGTTCTGTGGTTTTACAGCAGTTGGGTGCAGGTGTGTGACAGGGCATCCCAGACCCTGCAGCAATACAAATGAATCATAAAAAATTCTGCATAAATGGGCCGAGCCACCCAAGTAGAGCAATGTGATTAGATCCAATGCTCGAGTGCTCAAAGACTCAGGGTATGACTACATTGCAGTAAAATGTCCCTGGCTAGCTCAAGTCAACCGACATGGGTTCACTGGGCTTGGGCTGTAAAACGGCAGTGCAGACATTTGGACTGGGACTGCAACCTGAGCTCTGGGACCCTGTGGGGTCAGAGGGTCTGAAAACCCACGCTCCTGTACAAACTAAAACACCTATGCTGCAATGTTATAGCCCCACAGGCATGGCCCTGGGAGCCCAAGTCAGCTGACCCAGGTCAGTGTTTTATTGCCGTGTAGACGTACCCTCAAGATCCCCCAGAAAAGGGGTCAGCAAGTGCATAAAGGAGAGGGGAATCCACCCATAGGTAGTTATGGAAAGACAAAGGAAAGGGAAAATTCTCTCACGCACCAGTTCCTTTGTCTCAGGTAGACTTAATGCTCCCACATGAATGATCACATGATCCAACCTGCACAAGAGAAAAATTGAAAGGTTGCTGTTTATTTTTTGGTTTGTGGGGATTTAAATGTGTGGGAAAGATGCTGGATGGATAGCCTGGGGAAATGAATTATATCCTCTCTTTGGCCACACAGCAGATACTTCACTGGAGTAGATAAAAATGAAAAGGGATCTAGAAACAAAGTTTTAGACTATGGCAAAAAGTTCAGCCACACAGCCAACACCTCTTCCCAGTTTCCTCCCCTACCTACAGGCATTCTCTACACCTCGATCCCACAATCTTACTTCTGCAGCGCTCTCAGATCCTCATCCCCAGAGCTGCCATATACTGGCCAAGTGATCTTCCTAAAGCAGGGGGCCGATTCCCCGCTGCTTTGCCCCTTGTATAGTTACTTTCCCTATGTTAGTGTTTCTCAAAGGGTATGTCTACACTTTGAAGTTATTTTGGGATACCAGAGGCTACCCCGTGTCTTCACAAGCCACCTGTATTTTCAAAATATTTTTCAAAATAACGGACACGCTATTTCAGCATCCCAGTAACCCTCATTCCACGAGGGTTAAGGGATGTCTCAAATACACTTTAAAGGGATGCACTTTATTTTGAGTTTAGAGTGCAGTGTAGACGTAGCCAAAGTGGCTTGTGGATCACTTTGAGAAACACTGCCCTATGTGAAGGGCCATCATTCTGATCTGTAGCATCTGACACCATTTTCCACCAGTTGCAAGGTTGTGGAAAAACAGGCCCATTGTATGCAGCAAGCTAAGAGAGTGGCACAGAGCTGACGAAAAAAAGTGCTAATTTTTCATGCGAAATTTCAACCCCCTTTTCCTTCTACCCCAAAATTTCCATAAGATTTTTTTGTGGTTAAAAAATTAAAACCCCAAACCCAGAGTTTTTCTTTTTACTGAAACATGAACCAAAACTTTACCAAAAGACTCTTAATTAGGAAAAAAAACCACCAGTTGTGTTTTCCCTTCTTTCTCCCTCCAAACAAAAGCCCAGAAAATTTAAATCCAAAAGGAAATTTTCAGGGAAAGATTTTTCCTTCTCTGTCACTTGTTTTCTTTCTTATCCACAATTACATATTCATCCCCCTCTAACTCACTTTCATCTTGGAGGGTCCAGTGGAGAGCGACCAAAATGATGAGGGGACTGGAGCACATGACCTATGAGGAGAGACTGTGGGATTTGGGTTTGTTTAGTCTGCAGAAGAGAAGAGCGAGGGGGGATTTGATAGCAACCTTCAACTTCCTGAAGGGAGGTTCCAAAGAGGCTGTTCACAGTAGTGACGGATGACAGAACAAGGAGCAATGAATGGGCTCAAGTTACAGTGTGGGTGGTCTAGGTATGATATTAGGAAAAACTATTTCACTAGAAGGGTGGTGAAGCACTGGAATGGGTTACCTAGGGACGTGGTGGAATCTCCATCCCTAGAAGTTTTTAAGTCTCGGCTTGACAAAGCCCTGGCTGGCTTGACTTAGTTGGGATTGGCCCTGCCTTGGGCAGGACTTGATGACCTCCTGAGGTCTCTTCCAGCTCTACGATTCTATGGATGTGAGAGACAGTGCAAAGGCGAGTGACATGAGGACAAACAAGACATCCAAGAGGAGGGATGATCCAGTTACTAGAGTTGCAATGTGGGGCGCTAATAGAGTCAATTTCGTGGTTTGTCACAGGCTTCCTGTGTAGCTTCAGGCAAGTCACTTGGTCATTCTGTGCCTTGGTTCCCCATTTGTACAACGTGGAATCAACAGCTGTGCCCTGCCCACAAGCGATGCAGAAAGATAAATACGTACAAAGATTGCAAAGCTCTCATGCCCGGGGGTATAAAAGTAGCAAAGATATGGCCTCATTTTTACATCCCTTATTGCTTTCACTCCCCCCAACTTAAGCAACAGGAAAAGGGTATTTTCCAAAACTGCTTTTCTTCCACAGCCCCTCATAAGCAATAGGAAGAGAAGGCTTCCCCGAGACCCGCCCCTTCTAAGCAGTATGGAGGGAGGTCAACTGTGCACCGATGAGTGAGCCAGACATTTCTATAGTCACTCGGTTTGAAAAGACCCGCAACATCTTGACAAAAGGGCCAGGAAAAGAAATAGGGGAAATAACAAGAGGATGCAGCCTTTGTAATGTCAGCAGTAAAACAGAAAGGCTTCTGTAGAGCTACTCACTTGTCTTTCCCTTTGGTCACCCACGCCTCGGCTAGCTGCTTCCTCTCCTCCGTGCTCAGTGACAGCCCTTCTCCCGTTGTGCCGTTCACTGTTTCAAACAGAACACAACACACTCTAAGGCAGGGGTTCCCAACCTGGGGCACGTGTACCCCCAGCAGGTACGAGAAGTTTGTCAAGGGGATACGGGGAATATTTGGTAAATAACTAGATTACCCTAATTGAAATATTCCAAAAGTTGTTGTGTTAGAGAAAAAAAGCTGTAGATTCTAGAGTCTAGAATTTAGTTCCTTTCATATTGAATAGGGGGTATGGGAAGGTTTACTAAAAGCTAAGTGGGTACGGGGACCGAAAAAGGTTGGGAACCCCTGCTCTAAGGCCTGGCTTATCGACTGCTTCTACTAAAGACTGTTACTGAGATGTCATCAAACAAACTAAGCATATATCAGACAGTTGTAAACAGATATGGAAGTCCACACAGGGGTGTGTACTGATTTCTACACTGCTTTCCTTAAAGTTGTGGAATGTGTATGTGTAGAGAAGTCCTACAGCGCGGAAAATGTTAAATGCATAGCCCCCCCCCCCCAGGCCAACACAGTCAGAAAGGAAGAAAGAGAACAATGAATCTGAAGCTTATTTGATAAAGGTGACTATTGAGTTTTTAGCCAAGAATAAATGCATCTTTCGTAACCAATGTGATCTATTGAGTGAACACATCCTGCCCAAGCACATGCATACAAGTTTTAGACGGGCAGCCGTGTTAGTCTGTTTCAGCAAAATAAACGAGGAGTCCTGTGGCACCTTAAAGACTAACACATTTATTTGGGCATAAACTTTTGTGGGTAGGAACCCACTTTGTCAGATGATTTGTTAGTCTTTAAGTGCCTCATTGTTTTCAGATGGACAGTCATTCATATGGGTCTTTTCTGTCACTGCTTTGATCCTTCTGAATGCCCTAATGTGGTGTTTTCTAGTAGTTGTCTCTTTGCTTCCTTCCTTGCTCCAGTAACATTCCCATCTTCTGCTCTACCCTGTACATAACAGAGTTTGGGCAAAACCAGATTCCTAAAGGTTTAGATTATGATCTCTTCCACTTATGTGCATACATTTATAATGCTTCCATCCACCCCCATATTCCATTGCATCACAGCTTGTGGCTGAGGAGAGGCACAAATCCTTGCCAAAAACTTACCAAAAACGTTCTTCACGCCTTGATTTATTACAAGATAATCCACATATTGCTCAATCACAGAGCAGTTAATTTTTCTGAAAAGAAAGAAAATGAGAGGACAGAAATAACACTGGAGCTTAAGGAACCGATGACTATCTTCAAGCTCTAACAAATTTCCCTCTAATACCCAAGAGGGGTCAGGAGTATGATACCTAGCTAAGAAAACAAATCTGCCCTCTTTCTGAATCTGCCACTTTGTGACAACCTCTATACATAAAGCACAGGGCGTTTGGGGCTAAGCAGGCCATATCAGAAAGCGTCCTGTACGTGAGATCTAAATAGGGGTTCCTACAGCTTGAGATTCACAGAACTATCAGACACATATCTTCAGTGAGCAGAACTATAAAGCTATGCGTTCTATTGCTACACTGTAGCCTTTTTTCCTAAGACGAAAACCTAAAAATACTAGAAAATTCCTATCAAATTTACCTGATTCTGTCTCTTAACCACTGACCCTCTGAGCATACAGCAGACATCAAGCTGACTCTGACTTCTGGAAAGAGCCACAGCTACAGCCGGGGAAGACAATTATTTTTGATGGAGGGGAGGGGCACTGCAAGATTTTGGTAAGTGGTCAAGGGTCATGGAGGTGGTACAGGATCTGGAATGGAGGTTGGGTGCAGAAGGGAGCTCGGAGCAGGAAACTGGGGTGCAGGAGAGGGTGTGAGGTCTGAAATGGAGTTTGGGTGAAGGAGGGGATTGTGACTTGAGGAACTGTTTCCGGCCAATAGGAGCTGAGAGACAGTGTTCAATGCCTCTTCTCTCTCCCAGCACAGAGAGCTATAGGGAGCAGCCAGCCACTTTGAGCAGCGCTGCTTTATGCCGCGGGGGGGATACAGACTAAATTAAAAGGTTTGGTGGGCCCGATCCAGCCCATGGGCTGTAACTTGCCTACCCCGATTTAAGGGCTTGTCAATTTTGACAGCAACCCTTTTGGTGGCAAGAGGTAACATTTACCCATCTGAAGTCATTGGAGTGATGGTAGCTGCTACGAGACCCTGCAACTTCTTTGGGGATGCCATTGAGCTGTTGGGAAAAGTCAGAAAAAGACAAAAAAAATCTTCTTGACTAGAGAAATACACAGAGTAAATTCCTGGAATGACAAAGGTCTACCGGCAAAGTCTGGAACAAGTGGACTTTGTAAGTTTCTTTTGAGAAAAACAGACTGTGCAGTTTTCTTACAACCTATGCAGACCCAAGTACCGTAGCAGGCAAGGTCTGGGCAGAAGATTGGAAGCACCTGGTATAGTTCTCATACAGAGGCAGTTTCTCTTTGAATTTCACATGTGCATCACTTATTAAAACATTCACCTTTGGACTAGATAGTATTTATGTTTGGGTCTCTGCTTGAAGGCAAAGTTTCCAGAAGCAAAATCTCTTACACCATTTTTGAAGTAAAGGAGACAGTGAAAAAGACGCATGTCAAACAATACAAGGAAAAATATAAGCACATTGTAAATAAGGGGCACTAAGCCACCAAACTTTAAAATTGGTGGGAATATAATCCTTGCAGAGCTCTATACCCTTTGCTTGGTTTGGAGATGATGGGAAATTAAGTGACAGAAAAATCACTTCTGAGACCGATCGGATGTCAGTTCTACTTCTCTTAACAAGTTTACCGACCACTCTCATTGTTACTCCACACACAGCCTGCCCCACCATCACCCTTTCCCAGCCTTTGTCTCTGGTGCCGCCTCCTTTTCCTTCTCCGGCTGCTTCCAACTTTGTTTATGGCATCAGAACAACACTGACCCAGTTTCACCCAGTTACACTCCTGCTACTTGGCATAACTGAGTAGAATCAAAGGCACCCAGCATGGTACGTCTGAGGCAGGGTCGGTCCAAGGGTTTTTGGCACCCTAGACAAACTATAACCCCTTTCCTTCCCACATTCAATACAGAGAAAAATAAGTGACAAGGAGTCCTGTGGCACCTTATAGACTAATAGATATATTGGAGCATAAGCTTTTGTGGGCAAAGACCTGCATGCATCTGACTGTTAGTCTACAAGGTGCCACAGGACTCCTTGTCGCTTTTGCAGATCCAGACTAACATGGCTACCCCTCTGATACCTGACACCATGCAAGAGAAAAATAAGTTACTGCACGTGATGACACAGTAACACAGTTCTGGTAAATAGTCTACAATAAATACACAATCTTACTAGTATTTGTGATTCTCCTTTTGCAATCTTGTTAAAACCTCTTACCCAAGTTTTCAAGTCTAACACAATACAGATTCTTCCTGGGCACAGCTCGTCACAGCTCGTTACACAGTGGTGAGCAGCACTGACACCACTGTATGACTGGCCAACACTGGGCTACTGAGAATGACTGACCTGCTAGACCCTGCCCCCAGGCAATGCTCGTTTGAAGTTATACCATGATTCATTTCCCCTCTTTTTACATACACAGCTGTGCTCCGCCATGTGAAATAAATAGTACAACGCAACTTCTGACCAGGCAACAATGCCCTGGTTTACAAGTACAATATCTGAGACTTTAGTTTACAAGAGATAACATATTAATATATTTTTAAATAAAGAAAAATATTCACTTCTGTCTAATTTGGTGCCCCTTAAAGCCTGACACCCTAAGCAACTGCTTGGTTCGCCTGTATGGGGTGAGGAACCTCAGGCCCGGCTTGCTTAGATCCAGCCCCGAAGGCTCATGCCCACCCCAGCATTGGAGAGCCCCTATGCTACCCCACCCCAGGGCTGGAGCACACACAATCTAGTAGGCTGGGGCCCCCAGGCTCTGGTGTGTGAGGGGAATGTGGGGAGTGTCTTTCTCCTTCTTGTCAGAGGGTTCTTGTTGTTGTTGGGTTTTTTGGTGGGTTTTTTTGCTTCTCACTTGTGTGCGCGGCCCTGATTTTTCTGTGGGTGGTCAGCCCCCCCCTTCCGAAAAAAAGGTTCCCCACCCCCTGGCCTCTATGGTCGGACTGGCCCTAGTCTGAGGACTCACAGGGCTGCGCTTGGCTCTGGTAGGCTGGACGCCACATTCCGCTCCAAAGGAGGGAGCGGGGGCAGCAGGCCGGGATGGCACCGGCGCCCTGAGCCCGGGCAATGCGCCTTTTGCCCCCAGCCCAGCTCGTGCGGAAAGGAGGGGAACAGCCCGGCTGGAGACCTTGCTGCTCGGCGCTTTCCGGGCTGGAGCCGCTCTCCCCGGGAGCGCCAGCACGTGCGCCCACAGGGGAAGGGGTCCAAGCGGGCAACAGTAGCCCCTCCCCCCCCCCGGCGATCCTAGACAGCCGGCCTGCCCGCCACTCGGGCTCCCCCACCTGGCCCCTCTGCAGCCACCGCTCCCCAGGCTGCAGCGCCTCGCCCCGCGGTGGGTCTGCTGTCCTGCCCGCCCGCCTGTCCTCACCTGCACAGCGAGCCCCCGAGACCGCACCCCCCGCTCCCCGAGCAGCTGTGGCTCCCGGTTCCCGACTGAGCATGCCCGGCGCTACCGCTCCGCACATGCTCGCTGGCCGCGGCGACGAGCCGGGCTGCGCTCCTGCCCGCCCCGCGCCGCGGATCAGCGCGCCGGGGAGAGGCCCCCGCGGTGCGGGCGCCTTGCTGCGCTCCTTCCCCAAGCAGCGGCCGGGGGGCCGGCTGGGAGGGGGGCTAATAGGGCCCCTCAAGCCCCATCGCAGGGCAGATTTCTCCTGAGAATTTTGTTTTTGTTAAAAAAAAAAAAAAAAAAAAAAAAAAAAAAAAAAAAAAAAAAAAAAAACCCATCCAGGAGCCCTGAACCAGAACTCTGTTGGGTGGTTTTGGGACAGGCTTCTAGCGCCCTTCTTCGTTTGCCCCCTCCCCGGTTTTTAACCAAAGAATTGCTTGTGTGGTTCTGGAAGCCCTTGTAACGACAGAAACACTAACTTCTCCAAATTTGCGACTTTGGGTGCACTGAAATGGTGAGTGTTTTCCACCACAATACCCAGTCCCTGGGAATTTGCAACCCATGGACCAGGAGGCAAGTTGTGAGCAGGAGGAGCACCCAATTCCATGTATGCATGACAGAAACCGCAACGGTCGCACAAACGGAGAGTTTCACTTTCTGTCCTCGCACCCTCTTACTCTTTTCAGGACACCCTTTTTAGGGATGTAAACAGTTAACAAGACTCTGGCTTGCTGGTTAACCGGAGGTCCCAGCCAGAGCAGCCCCCAACCCTTGGTAGGATCGCATGGGTTGCCTGCAGCCGGCGGCTAAGCGATTAAACGAAAGCGTTTCCCAAACTACGGGCCACGGCTCAGAACCAGACTGCGGGAAAAAATACCGGGCCTCAGCATAGCTGCCGGGGTGTTCTGGGCTCCCAGAGTGTCAGTGTAGTGCCAAGTCCCCCGAGCTCTGGGCCGAGGATGCAGTCAGAAGTTCTGGGCTCCCAGCAGAGGTGTAGCGAGGGAGGAGTTGCCCCCGGGCACCGTGCTGGGGGAGAGGGTTGGGGGGCTCACCTGGGCTGCGGAAGGAGGGAGGTGCTGGGAATCCGGCACTGTACTCAAGGGCGGGGGGAATCAGTGCTGGGCTCAGCAGGTCTGTGCGGTTTGGGGGGAGGTGCAGGGAAATGGAACTGCGAGAGTGAAGAGATGTGGGGTGCTGGGCTGCAGAGGGTGGGGCAGGTGCAGAGCTCAGTTTGGCTGCAGGAGGAGGGAGGTGCCAGGAATTGGGGCGAGACTCAAAGGGAGGGGCAGGAAATCAGAGCTGGGCTCAGCAGTTTTGCAGAGCTTAGGGGGAGGTGCAGGGAAACGGGGCTCAGTTGTGCTGTGGGGGAGGCATGCAGGGAACCAGTCCGGGGCTCACCTGAACTGAGGTGGATGGGGGGGAGGCACAGGGAACAGAAGGGCAGCTCAGCTGGGCTATGAGGGGCTGCAGGGAACTGGTGCTGCACTCCCTTGGATTGTGGGGGATGGTTTTGGGGGAGGTGCAGAGAACCAACCAGGGGTGGGCAGCTTAGTTGGGTTGCAGGGGAGGGAGGTACAAAAAAGCCAGGGCTAGGAGTGGGGCCATGACTGGGGTTGGAGGGGGAGTGTGTGGCTAGAGGTAAGGGGGTGGGTCAGGGGCCAGGAACAAAACCATGGCCATCGACTGAGGTTAAAGGCAGAAGCAGAGCTGGGAGCGGCAGGGGGATGTCCCAGGCCCTACCATTCCCCCCATTCCAAATATTCCTCCATGTCCCACATTTTAAGAATTACAGATCTGCACCAACAGCCCTAGACCATGAGGATATCTCCCCTCCTGTTCACTTGCCCAGTGTGAGATTATTCAGTATAGGGGAAGCCTTGTGACTGCTTACACAACTGTGGGAGGCTAGGCCTGAGGCTTCTTGTTGTGCTCTGTGTTGTGTATTTGTGTGAGTGCACCTCAGACCAGTCCCACTCAGACAAACCACCAGGAACACGCTTTAGTCTGTAAAAAAAACATAGACCAGGATCACAGTTCAGCAGCTCCTCCTCTCTGCATGCAGCTTCTAACTCAGACACTGAGGACACTGCTGGGGGCAGAGGATACATCTTGGCAGGAACCAGGAAGTTCTCCCAACATGCCACAGTTTGTAGTCCACAACTTGTAGTTCCCAGGGCTGCTGTTGAAACACACTGGACCTTGGGCTACAAGGATATCAGAGGAAACTCAACTAACTGCTACCGTCACTTTCTACAGCTAATTTGCATGCAACAATTTTATTAGTGGTAAACAGTCTGCACAGATGGTAGATTCCTTGGCCGAACTGCCACAGTTCTTCATAGCTTGATTTGCTGCCCATACATCTCAATACAATCCCAATGCAACCCACAATCCCAAATATTCACTTGGAGACCACCATCATCAGTACATGCATTAACCCAAACATACATAACTCCTTACCGCAGCACACACCCCTCACTCGCAAACTAAAACAAATCTCCCGGCACGACATGCACACTAATCCAAATCCTCATGTTAAAGTTTCTTAGAGATGGCTGCCCAGGGAGTGAGGGACCCCAGAAGGTACCTGCCTAGATGGCAGGAGTGGAGTCCAGAACCTTCCACTCCATGGGGCCTTCCCTACTTGCCTACATAATTTGTACACAATACAGAGAAAAAATGTTAGTTATTTTCCAAAGGACAAGTAGCAAGGAGGCTATGCATGCACAGGGGCGGCCTGTGAGCCTAGGCAGACTAGGCGGTTGCCTAGGGCACTGCCGGCCCGGGGCGCCCGATGATGATGTCATGGCCATTGACGGCTGTGCAGGCGGGGGTGCCGATCACGCCTTCCCAGCAGGCCTCAGGCCGCTCCTGTGCATCATCCTCACTCCTCCATGCACACGGCACCAAAATCTATCCCCTCTACAACTCCAAGGCCAGATGTTGTCTGACTCACACAAAGCCTTGTGATATCATTAAAAGGCATCATCACCTTTACGTTTGTAGATCTATAGAGCCTTACGTAAAACAATTGCTTCTTTCCATTTTATTGAAGCTAGGACTAATTGATATCTGATTTTCCAATGTAAAGCTCTTGTCACACAAACTAATCTCTATGCAACCCTCCTCTAGACACAGACACACCCATTTGCAATCAGTTTGTCTTAGCTGTAGAGGATGAGAGTTCTGGTAAGATACCAATTAACACATAGTCTGCGTCTAGACTGGCAAGTTTTTCCACAAAAGCAGCTGCTTTTGCGCAAAAACTTGCCAGCTGTCTACACTGGCCACTTGATTTTGCTCAAAAGCACTGACGTCCTATTGTCCGAAATCAGTGCTTCTTGCGCAAATGCTTTGACGTTCCCGTTCGGGCAAAAGCCCTTTTCTGGAAATGTTTTTACGCAAGAGGGCCAGTGTAGACAGCTAAAAATGTTTTGCACAAAAAAGCCCCGATGGCGAAAATGGCGATCGGGGCTTTCTTGCGCAAAACCGCATCTAGATTGGCACGGACGCTTTTCCGCAAAATGCCAATCTAGATGCTCTTTTCTGCAAATGCTGTTAACGGAAAAACTTTTCCGTTAAAAGCATTTGCACAAAATCATGCCAGTCTAGATGTAGCCAAAATGTTTAAAAGATATGTTACCACAACCCTTTAAAAATTGCTTGTTTTTCATTGTGGCACTGGCCTAGATGAATTGCACTACGTGTAAAAAAACCACAAAAGACAAAAAATTCCTCTAAATGCAGTTTCCATGGGTTACAAGCTAACTCTGGTAAATTGTGAAGAGACTTTTAGAGTCATTGATCTAAGGGGCATGTGTACACAAGCAGGGAATCACACCAATATTCCCTCTAATCTTTTGCATCTACGTGCGAAATAAATATGTATGTGCACCCAGGCATGTGCGAATGTGCACCACCCATAGACCAACAAACTTATCTGTGGGCGGTCTGATAAGCAACAGGGCAGGACTTGAATTTGTCCTGAGCTGCCACAGTGATGGTAGAGAAGTCTCCTGTTGGCATTAAAAACCCACCTCCATGAGGGCAGAAGTCATGCTGGCAGGAGAAGCTCTCCTGCCGACATAGCGCTGTGCATACGAGCACTTATGCTACATAATTTATGTTGCTCACGGGGATGGCTTATTCACATCCCTGAGTGACATAAATTATGCCAGCAAAATCTGCAGTGCAGACATTGCCTTTCGGGGTGGCTTTGTGAATACTGATCGAGCTCTTCCCAATCACAGGGCATGGCATGGGAAAATGTGAGCATAGTTCTGGAAAACCAGAATGCCAAGGGAGACACGGTTGCAACTTACACTATTACCTCTTTTGATATATACCGACTACATGGTAGAGTGCACTTTTGATATATACCGACTACATGGTACAGGTTTGAGATGGTCACATTCAATACTGCTTAGCCATTCATTGGTTAAGCGATGCAAAATAAATGGGAGAACTGTGTGATGAATTACAAAAGGTTGATCTATGTGAGGAACCAAAACTTTCCAGGAAATAGACTTGGTATAAAAATATACACCACTAGGTGTCACCTCCTTTACAGACTATCCACCCCATATCCCTGTTAATGTGGGAAAGGATTAGAAATGGTAATAAGGAGCATGTCTTATCAAAAGGTTCTGTAATTTTTTTTCCGAGCATGGCTTGTAGTCAGATTCTATTTTTATTACTATTCCCAGGGCAAGGATTGGAGAAACTGTGCTAAACTATAGTTAAAGCAGAGAATACATTTCAGTAATGTACAGGTAAATAGCAGAATGACACAATTATGCCCCCAAAATCAAACATTACAAATGTAGAAAATGCAGAGTTCATGGTAAAAACTTAACATAACTAGATTTCTGCTAAATTATGGACACAGGCAGTTAAGAATTAGAGATTCTGAATTTTGCCCTGTAACAATGACAAGAGAGAATGCCATGGAAAAAAACAAACACAATTCTTAATGCTTTTAGTATCCCATCTGCAAAATGAGGATAGGACTTGCAAAATAGCTAAACAAGACAAAGGAAACTCTTTGGAGAGGAGTTATCTAATTCTGTCTGTTCAGTGCTTAACCCTATTGGTCCTCACCTTGGTTAGTTCCTCTTGGTACAAATGAACAGTA